GGGTGGTTCAGAATTTTGGAGGAAAATATTTTTTTTTTTAATAGGTTAGTTTCCCCATTATGAATGTCCATACATGCCATTAGATGGATCCTGACCCCCATATCCCTTTGAAAGGGTCATAGGGGCAAATATTGTGATAATTTGAATAAACACCAATTTCAGGACGAAATGGTAAGGGCCGGGGTGGTTCAGCATTTTGGAGGAAAATATATATATTTTTTTTAATAGGCTAGTTTTCCCCACAATGAATGTACATACATGCCATTAGATGGATCCTGACCCCCATATCCCTTTGAAAGGGGTGTAGGGGCAAATATTGTAAAAATTTGAATTATCACAACTTTCGGGCCGAAATTGTAAGGGCCGGGGTGGTTCAGCATTTTGGAGGAAAATATATATTTTTTTTAATGGGCTAGTTTCCCAACAATAATGTACATACATGCCATTAGATGGATCCTGACCCCCCATATCCCTTTGAAAGGGGTGTAGGGGCAAATATTGTAAAAATTTGAATTATCACAACTTTCGGGCCGAAATTGTAAGGGCCGGGGTGGTTCAGAATTTTGGAGGAAAATATTTTTTTTTAATAGGTTAGTTTCCCCATTATGAATGTCCATACATGCCATTAGATGGATCCTGACCCCCATATCCCTTTGAAAGGGTCATAGGGGCAAATATTGTGATAATTTGAATAAACACCAATTTCAGGACGAAATGGTAAGGGCCGGGGTGGTTCAGGATTTTGGAGGAAAATATATATTTTTTTTAATAGGCTAGTTTTCCCCACAATGAATGTACATACATGCCATTAGATGGATCCTGACCCCCATATCCCTTTGAAAGGGGTGTAGGGGCAAATATTGTAAAAATTTGAATTATCACAACTTTCGGGCCGAAATTGTAAGGGCCGGGGTGGTTCAGCATTTTGGAGGAAAATATATATTTTTTTTAATGGGCTAGTTTCCCAACAATAATGTACATACATGCCATTAGATGGATCCTGACCCCCCATATCCCTTTGAAAGGGGTGTAGGGGCAAATATTGTAAAAATTTGAATTATCACAACTTTCGGGCCGAAATTGTAAGGGCCGGGGTGGTTCAGAATTTTGGAGGAAAATATTTTTTTTTTTAATGGGCTAGTTTCCCCATTATGAATGTCCATACATGCCATTAGATGGATCCTGACCCCCATATCCCTTTGAAAGGGTCATAGGGGCAAATATTGTGATAATTTGAATAAACACCAATTTCAGGACGAAATGGTAAGGGCCGGGGTGGTTCAGGATTTTGGAGGAAAATATATATATTTTTTTTAATAGGCTAGTTTCCCCACAATGAATGTACCTACATGCAATTAAATGGATTCTGACCCCCATATCCCTTTGAAAGGGGCGTAGTGGCAAATATTGTAAAAATTTGAATTATCACAACTTTCGGGCCGAAATTGTAAGGGCCGGGGTGGTTCAGTATTTTGAAGGAAAAAATTATATTTTTTGAATAGGCTAGTTTCCCCACAATGAATGTACATACATGCCATTAGATGGATCCTGCCCCTCATATCCCTTTGAAAGGGGCGTAGTGGCAAATATTGTAAAAATTTGAATTATCACAACTTTCGGGCCGAAATTGTAAGGGCCGGGGTGGTTCAGCATTTTGGAGGAAAATATTAATTTTTTTGAATAGGCTAGTTTCCCCACAATGAATGTACATACATGCCATTAGATGGATCCTGACCCCCATATCCCTTTGAAAGGGGTGTAGGGGCAAATATTGTAAAAATTTGAATTATCACAACTTTCGGGCCGAAATTGTAAGGGCCGGGGTGGTTCAGCATTTTGGAGGAAAATATATTTTTTTTTTAATGGGCTAGTTTCCCAACAATAATGTACATACATGCCATTAGATGGATCCTGACCCCCCATATCCCTTTGAAAGGGGTGTAGGGGCAAATATTGTAAAAATTTGAATTATCACAACTTTCGGGCCGAAATTGTAAGGGCCGGGGTGGTTCAGAATTTTGGAGGAAAATATATTTTTTTTTTGATAGGTTAGTTTCCCCATTATGAATGTCCATACATGCCATTAGATGGATCCTGACCCCCATATCCCTTTGAAAGGGTCATAGGGGCAAATATTGTGATAATTTGAATAAACACCAATTTCAGGACGAAATGGTAAGGGCCGGGGTGGTTCAGGATTTTGGAGGAAAATATATATATTTTTTTAATAGGCTAGTTTCCCCACAATGAATGTACCTACATGCAATTAAATGGATTCTGACCCCCATATCCCTTTGAAAGGGGCGTAGTGGCAAATATTGTAAAAATTTGAATTATCACAACTTTCGGGCCGAAATTGTAAGGGCCGGGGTGGTTCAGCATTTTGAAGGAAAAAATTATATTTTTTAAATAGGCTAGTTTCCCCACAATGAATGTACATACATGCCATTAGATGGATCCTGACCCCCATATCCCTTTGAAAGGGGCGTAGGGGCAAATATTGTAAAAATTTGAATTATCACAACTTTCGGGCCGAAATTGTAAGGGCCGGGGTGGTTCAGTATTTTGAAGGAAAAAATTATATTTTTTGAATAGGCTAGTTTCCCCACAATGAATGTACATACATGCCATTAGATGGATCCTGCCCCTCATATCCCTTTGAAAGGGGCGTAGTGGCAAATATTGTAAAAATTTGAATTATCACAACTTTCGGGCCGAAATTGTAAGGGCCGGGGTGGTTCAGCATTTTGGAGGAAAATATTAATTTTTTTGAATAGGCTAGTTTCCCCACAATGAATGTACATACATGCCATTAGATGGATCTTGACCCCCATATCCCTTTGAAAGGGGCGTAGGGGCAAATATTGTAAAAATTTGAATTATCACAACTTTCGTGCCGAAATTGTAAGGGCCGGGGTGGTTCAGCATTTTGGAGGAAAATATTAATTTTTTTGAATAGGCTAGTTTCCCCACAATGAATGTACATACATGCCATTAGATGGATCTTGACCCCCATATCCCTTTGAAAGGGGCGAAGGGGCAAATATTGTGATAATTTTAATAAACACCAATTTCAGGCCGAAATGGTAAGGGCCGGGGTGGTTCAGGATTTTAGAGGAAAATATATATTTTTTTAATAGGCTAGTTTCCCCACAATGAATGTACCTACATGCAATTAAATGGATTCTGACCCCCATATCCCTTTAAAAGGGGCGTAGTGGCAAATATTGTAAAAATTTGAATTATCACAACTTTCGGGCCGAAATTGTAAGGGCCGGGGTGGTTAAGCATTTTGAAGGAAAAAATTATATTTTTTGAATAGGCTAGTTTCCCAAACAATGAATGTACATACATGCCATTAGATGGATCCTGACCCCCATATCCCTTTGAAAGGGGCGTAGGGGCAAATATTGTGATAATTTGAATAAACACCAATTTCAGGCCGAAATGGTAAGGGCCAGGGTGGTTCAGCATTTTTGAGGAAAATATTATATTTTTATGCCTCCGCCACCGAAGGTGGTGCCGGAGGCATCATGTTTTCGGATTGTCCGTCCGTACGTCCGTACATCCGTCCCGTTTGACTGTTATCACAATATCTCAAGAACCCTTTAAGATTTAAACTTAAGACTCGGGAATAGTATTTATCACCATAGGAAGACGATCTGATTAGATTTTGGAGTACGTAGGTCAAAGGTCACAGGTCACAGAGGTCAACTTATGAAATTCCTTGTATTGAGTTTGTTAGCGCGATATCTCAAGAACCATTTGAGATTTAAACTTCAATCTTAAGGATAGTATGTATCACCATAGGAAGACGATCTGATTAGATTTTGGAGCACGTATGTCAAAGGTCAAGGGTCACAGAGGTCAACTTATGAAATTCCATACATTGAGATTATTATCATGATTTCTCAAGAACCACTGGAGATTTAAACTTCAAACTTAGTGATAGTGTGTATCACTATAGGAAAACAATCTGATTACATTTCGGAGCACGTAGGTCAAAGTTCAAGGGTCATAGAGGTCAACTTATGAAATTCCATACATTGAGATTGTTATCACGATATCTCAAGAACCACTGGAGATGTAAAACTTCAAACTTAATGATAGTGTGTATCACCATAGGAAGACAATCTGATTAGATTTTGGAGCACGTAGGTCAAAGGTCAAGGGTCACAGAGGTCAACTTATGAAATTCCATAAATTGAGATTGTTATCATAATATCTCAAGAACCACTGGAGATTTAAACTTTAAACTTAATGATAGTGTGTATCACCATAGGAAGATAATCTGATTAGATTTTGGAGCTCGTAGGTCAAAGGTCAAGGGTCACAGAGGTCAACTTATGAAATTCCATACATTGAGATTGTTATCGCGATATCTCAAGAACCACTGGAGAATTTTCACTTCAAACTTAATGATAGTATGTATCACCATATCATAATATTTCAAGAACCACTGGAGATTTAAACTTCAAACTTAATGATAGTGTGTATCACCATAGGAAGACAATCTGATTAGATTTTGGAGCACGTAGGTCAAAGGTCAAGGGTCACAGAGGTCAACTTATGAAATTCCATACATTGAGATTGTTATCATGATATCTCAAGAACCACTGGAGATTTAAACTCCAAACTTGTTTAAATTGCTCTATGGCGGAGGCATCATTTTCGACTGCACGCAGTCAAAATTCCATCTAGTCTTATTATTGCCTGATTATCTCTTCCTTTTTCTCCAAAGCGCATAGGGACTGAAATATGATAAGCTCTATACAAGTATTGTTTTTTAAAATTTTATTTACCGAATGGAGATAAGGTATGTGTAGACACAAGATAAAGTTGATAGAACATAACTTGCGTCTGTATTTTGAAGAGCTTAATTCCAAAAGGAGGTAAATCCACTTTTGATGAAAATTGAGTTATTGATATCAGAACATTGTTCACTTAGGTACCGTACCCATCTTTCAACAAAATTATTAACCTAAATTTTGGAGCAATTTTGAAAAAAATACACCTTCTAATATCACTTTTCTATAGACGCCTGTTCAAAATCTGGAAAACAATTTTATTTTTTTTAGCTCCTTTTGGAATTAAACTCTTCAATATTGCCTGTATTATTTATTTTATTCAAACTTTCAGAAAGATTATATGTAGATATTTATTTGTTTTATTAGTGTTGATATAATTGATTGAAAATGGCTACCAGGTATTTCTGTATTGCTCAATATCTTTCATTTTATAGCCTCAGAGTCGTCTTCCATACCTGTTCCCAAGTACAGAACCTCACCTATGATGCAAAAAAGTAAGTTCAACATTGTTGGTTGGAACGAGTCTCTTATGGCTTTCACAAGACGGTAGAGTTGTAAATAATTTGTCAGCATTTTACTGTAAATAAAGGTGATATAAATATCAGTTGAAGAAGCCCGTTGATAAATCGTGATTTGAGGTGTTTATGGGTATTTGTTTCTAGTTCATCGTGACTGTGCCATGGATCAGTGATGGCCTTGTGGTAGAGTCCTGCATCGATCTTTACTGGGTGTAAGCCACAAATATGTTTAAACAAGGTGTTTCACTCATTGTCATGAATATTGATCAAAGAGATTAGCTAGGAAGTGCATGCATACAGACATTTGTGAAACAGTTCCATTACTGTACATCTCAGGCAGGTTGATGTATAAAGGTGTTAATGAATGTTTTCTTGACCCCCAGGAAGCAGCAGTCTGGACACCGTTTCATCTCATCATAGAAGCGGAAGGGCATCATCACCAGCTAAACCAAGATAAATACCAGGGACCTGTTTCACAAAGCCTTACTACTAATTACCAATCAGAAGCAAGGATTTCACTAGCTTATAACAAAAACTGTCATTTTTCACTGATGACAAGTTTTGTGAAATGGGGCCCAGGAATCATCGTTCTGAATGATTATCACCTTGATGTCTTATTTATGATCCATAGTAGGGACTATGTAGAAAGATATAGACCATTACTACAAAGGTTTTTAAAAGAGCTACATGTTTGTGAGAGGGTGACTTTACTTACACAGTTATTGTGTTACGTCATTTACATGTATACATAGTATTCTTTACCTGGTGCTGTGAAATTTGTAGTGTGAGAAGAGTTTACCATTAGAGCAAGATATTTATTATGTGTTTGGGTAATTCCATAAATTAGGGACCCATTTTGTGACACGAGTGAGAATATTATGCTTGGCGTGTGTGGGTTCCTTAATTTATGTTTGTATTGTGTCGCATACCATGTATTTCACCTTTTGAATAATTGTTTAATTCTGAGCAAAAGGTTGCCATATAAGTTAGTGATGGAAAAAACACAACATTTTGATTGTAGAATGATTCTTTTAAAATAATGTTGATGCATACATTATGAAATGTAATTTGTAAAGAAAAAAGAAATGATTCATGTATGAACACATTATCAATGATTGTGGTGACCTTAGTTTTTTATTGCTCTGTATAGACTATGAGAGCGAGCTACCATACCATTGGAAAGTACTGACAGAGAAATACAATATGCAATTATTTTGAAAGTTGGCTTTGCCTTTTAATTCTTCTTGGTCATAACATGACCTATACAAAATAGTCTGAACATGTTGCGGGCATTTTTTGGTAAATTTGAAGGAATATAGGCTTTGACAAATAAGCTTATAAAATAGTACTGAAATAACCAATTTACAACTGGAAGACATGTACACAAGTGTCTGTTTACATCAAACAAATGCAGAATTTTCGGCAAGAATAAAATAATACCTAATATGTAACACTAATATGTCACTGTTTTTCTTTCGTTTACATGCTGATTTAACAGACTATACTACACTGAAAAAGTTTGAAGCTAGGCTCACTTCATACCATGCATGAAATCTCTTATCCATCATAGCTTTACATAAAACAAAAGTTTTACTAAATGTCAGAGAATACCTCTTTCAATATAATACATGTAGTATGTTTTTGTTCCCACTACATAGCACAGGTATTTAATGTCTTAATTAGAAGAGAATAATGCATCAAAACTCAATAATTCTTACAAAATAATGTACATGGAAGTTTATGTTTCAGCTCTGGTCTTATTGAGAGTTGTGATTGATCCAAGTCCTCCAATCAATGTACATACATATGAACTTTTTATAAGGTCTATTAATTTTTTTCAAACATGAAACACTCGACAGCTGCAAACGGTGATCTCTGTTAATGTACAAACTTTGATCCACATCAGACTTCTCTTCAATCATCGTTAATTGTTTTTATTCGTTGAACCCTGTAATTAATGTGATACCATTAATCAACAAGAAGATTAAAAGGATCGTTTAACAATGTTAAATCTGAGATATGGTGTAATATTGAAGCCCTAAAAAAATGATCAAGAATTGCCTCAAAAAAGTAAAAATCTTTGAGTGACCGGTTTTACCTTACTCGTTTTTACCCAAAATACTGTAGTGTTATGAAAACCGTTTGGCAAATGGTTTTCAAAATTTGTAATTACAATCATAAATATCTCGATAATTAGACAGGCGATGGGCTTCCTGACTGACCTTAAGGTTTATAATTATCATTGCATCATGAGCTGAATCCAGAATTTTGTTTCAGAATCTGAGTTACCGTATCCCTTTAAAATAACCCCCAAATCAGAGAAACTGAAAACTTGCTTTATGAATTGGATGAATACAACAGTGTTTCACATTTCAAACCACTTGTATCATACTGAATATTTATGACAACATGAACATAGCTATTTCCATCAACCTACTGACTCACATTTCAAGAAATTGAAGTGAATACGTAATATCTCACATGATACGTAGATTAGTATAAGTGACCTTACATGTACATCGTTTATCAATATTATAAAAAGTAAAATTAATTGGCAATGTCTTTCGATTTGCCAGAACAACAGGCACACAATTTCCTTGTCTCTATCTTCTCATTAATTTAATGCTTTAATACATTTTCCACTAAAATTATTTGGAGTTTTGAACAATTCATATACGTTCAATTGATTCTGTGACAATTTGTTTTCTGTCACAACCAAGATTCATGACTACATTCAAAATACAATTTTTTTTGTTTGTTACTCTAGTTGATGGGTGTAAATTGTATTTCATACAGGACAAGGCACATACATATGTTCAAGGCATGAGCTTTTCATTTAATTTCATTTCTTAAAGATAGGACAATAAACTCAGTTGGTGTCCTAGCAGCAATGTATCATTCAAGCATGCTACAAGTCTCTTGCTCCCTGCATGACGAGATCAACGAAACTTCTTTCTAAATCATTTAGATCTAAGAGTCAAAGACTACTATTTCGTTCTGTCCAAGAGCAGCCTCAGATATCAGGGACTTTAATGGTTATAACATCTCCTTGGCAAGTACTGAAGGTTGAACAGTCCCCTTTAAAGCCATGGCGACCACCCTGGGTACAGTCTGGAGAGGTTCTTGGGGTCTCTTGCCTCTTGGATGAGTAGACTAACCTGACCTGCTACGCTCAGCGTGACCCCGTCCTCGACCCCACCAAGCTTCTGCCTCAGCCGTAGCAGCACCCTCTCAGCAACCTACAAACAAGTCAGGAAGAAAAGGTGTTATGGGTCTGCAATGTTCCGTTGGTTCATCATGGCAAATCAATGATTAGATTACAACTCTTTGTACTGCACTTTGAAATCTCACTGATGCTCTCTGGCAAACCTATGAATGTGGAACATCGGCAAATGGGTAGACCAGCCTATGCGACACGTAGATGTGTGCCCTTTACGTGTTCACTGTATATCTACTTCAAAGAGTGATGATTAGCACAAACAAAAGGATAATCCCACTGAATAGAATCGTGGCACATAGAATTTGAATTACTAGTAATACATTATTGTCAAATGTATGAAATAAATTCCAACTTGTGTGACCTCCTCTCTAGAGGTTGTAGGACTACAAGCCCTATTGATAGGCAGAGGCAGGATATTCTGATCAAATACAAGCAAACCAACCTGGTTGACCTCCTCCCTAGAGGTTGTAGGACTACAAGCCCTATTGATAGGCAGAGGCAGGATATTCTGATCAAATACAAGCAAACCAACCTGGTTGACCTCCTCCCTAGAGGTTGTAGGACTACAAGCCCTATTGATAGGCAGAGGCAGGATATTCTGATCAAATACAAGCAAACCAACCTGGTTGACCTCCTCCCTAGAGGTTGTAGGACTACAAGCCCTATTGATAGGCAGAGGCAGGATATTCTGATCAAATACAAGCAAACCAACCTGGTTGACCTCCTCCCTAGAGGTTGTAGGACTACAAGCCCTATTGATAGGCAGAGGCAGGATATTCTGATCAAATACAAGCAAACCAACCTGGTTGACCTCCTCCCTAGAGGTTGTAGGACTACAAGCCCTATTGATAGGCAGAGGCAGGATATTCTGATCAAATACAAGCAAACCAACCTGGTTGACCTCCTCCCTAGAGGTTGTAGGACTACAAGCCCTATTGATAGGCAGAGGCAGGATATTCTGATCAAATACAAGCAAACCAACCTGGTTGACCTCCTCCCTAGAGGTTGTAGGACTACAAGCCCTATTGATAGGCGGAGGCAGGATATTCTGATCAAATACAAGCAAACCAACCTGGTTGACCTCCTCCCTAGAGGTTGTAGGACTACAAGCCCTATTGATAGGCAGAGGCAGGATATTCTGATCAAATACAAGCAAACCAACCTGGTTGACCTCCTCCCTAGAGGTTGTAGGACTACAAGCCCTATTGATAGGCGGAGGCAGGATATTCTGATCAAATACAAGCAAACCAACCTGGTTGACCTCCTCCCTAGAGGTTGTAGGACTACAAGCCCTATTGATAGGCAGAGGCAGGATATTCTGATCAAATACAAGCAAACCAACCTGGTTGACCTCCTCCCTAGAGGTTGTAGGACTACAAGCCCTATTGATAGGCAGAGGCAGGATATTCTGATCAAATACAAGCAAACCAACCTGGTTGACCTCCTCCCTAGAGGTTGTAGGACTACAAGCCCTATTGATAGGCAGAGGCAGGATATTCTGATCAAATACAAGCAAACCAACCTGGTTGACCTCCTCCCTAGAGGTTGTAGGACTACAAGCCCTATTGATAGGCAGAGGCAGGATATTCTGATCAAATACAAGCAAACCAACCTGGTTGACCTCCTCCCTAGAGGTTGTAGGACTACAAGCCCTATTGATAGGCGGAGGCAGGATATTCTGATCAAATACAAGCAAACGAACCTGGTTGACCTCCTCCCTAGAGGTTGTAGGACTACAAGCCCTATTGATAGGCAGAGGCAGGATATTCTGATCAAATACAAGCAAACGAACCTGGTTGACCTCCTCCCTAGAGGTTGTAGGACTACAAGCCCTATTGATAGGCAGAGGCAGGATATTCTGATCAAATACAAGCAAACCAACCTGGTTGACCTCCTCCCTAGAGGTTGTAGGACTACAAGCCCTATTGATAGGCAGAGGCAGGATATTCTGATCAAATACAAGCAAACGAACCTGGTTGACCTCCTCCCTAGAGGTTGTAGGACTACAAGCCCTATTGATAGGCGGAGGCAGGATATTCTGATCAAATACAAGCAAACCAACCTGGTTGACCTCCTCCCTAGAGGTTGTAGGACTACAAGCCCTATTGATAGGCAGAGGCAGGATATTCTGATCAAATACAAGCAAACGAACCTGGTTGACCTCCTCCCTAGAGGTTGTAGGACTACAAGCCCTATTGATAGGCAGAGGCAGGATATTCTGATCAAATACAAGCAAACCAACCTGGTTGACCTCCTCCCTAGAGGTTGTAGGACTACAAGCCCTATTGATAGGCAGAGGCAGGATATTCTGATCAAATACAAGCAAACGAACCTGGTTGACCTCCTCCCTAGAGGTTGTAGGACTACAAGCCCTATTGATAGGCAGAGGCAGGATATTCTGATCAAATACAAGCAAACCAACCTGGTTGACCTCCTCCCTAGAGGTTGTAGGACTACAAGCCCTATTGATAGGCAGAGGCAGGATATTCTGATCAAATACAAGCAAACCAACCTGGTTGACCTCCTCCCTAGAGGTTGTAGGACTACAAGCCCTATTGATAGGCAGAGGCAGGATATTCTGATCAAATACAAGCAAACGAACCTGGTTGACCTCCTCCCTAGAGGTTGTAGGACTACAAGCCCTATTGATAGGCAGAGGCAGGATATTCTGATCAAATACAAGCAAACGAACCTGGTTGACCTCCTCCCTAGAGGTTGTAGGACTACAAGCCCTATTGATAGGCAGAGGCAGGATATTCTGATCAAATACAAGCAAACCAACCTGGTTGACCTCCTCCCTAGAGGTTGTAGGACTACAAGCCCTATTGATAGGTGGAGGCAGGATATTCTGATCAAATACAAGCAAACGAACCTGGTTGACCTCCTCCCTAGAGGTTGTAGGACTACAAGCCCTATTGATAGGCAGAGGCAGGATATTCTGATCAAATACAAGCAAACGAACCTGGTTGACCTCCTCCCTAGAGGTTGTAGGACTACAAGCCCTATTGATAGGCGGAGGCAGGATATTCTGATCAAATACAAGCAAACGAACCTGGTTGACCTCCTCCCTAGAGGTTGTAGGACTACAAGCCCTATTGATAGGCGGAGGCAGGATATTCTGATCAAATACAAGCAAACGAACCTGGTTGACCTCCTCCCTAGAGGTTGTAGGACTACAAGCCCTATTGATAGGCGGAGGCAGGATATTCTGATCAAATACAAGCAAACGAACCTGGTTGACCTCCTCCCTAGAGGTTGTAGGACTACAAGCCCTATTGATAGGCGGAGGCAGGATATTCTGATCAAATACAAGCAAACGAACCTGGTTGACCTCCTCCCTAGAGGTTGTAGGACTACAAGCCCTATTGATAGGCGGAGGCAGGATATTCTGATCAAATACAAGCAAACCAACCTGGTTGACCTCCTCCCTAGAGGTTGTAGGACTACAAGCCCTATTGATAGGCGGAGGCAGGATATTCTGATCAAATACAAGCAAACCAACCTGGTTGACCTCCTCCCTAGAGGTTGTAGGACTACAAGCCCTATTGATAGGCGGAGGCAGGATATTCTGATCAAATACAAGCAAACCAACCTGGTTGACCTCCTCCCTAGAGGTTGTAGGACTACAAGCCCTATTGATAGGCGGAGGCAGGATATTCTGATCAAATACAAGCAAACGAACCTGGTTGACCTCCTCCCTAGAGGTTGTAGGACTACAAGCCCTATTGATAGGCGGAGGCAGGATATTCTGATCAAATACAAGCAAACCAACCTGGTTGACCTCCTCCCTAGAGGTTGTAGGACTACAAGCCCTATTGATAGGCGGAGGCAGGATATTCTGATCAAATACAAGCAAACCAACCTGGTTGACCTCCTCCCTAGAGGTTGTAGGACTACAAGCCCTATTGATAGGCGGAGGCAGGATATTCTGATCAAATACAAGCAAACGAACCTGGTTGACCTCCTCCCTAGAGGTTGTAGGACTACAAGCCCTATTGATAGGCGGAGGCAGGATATTCTGATCAAATACAAGCAAACGAACCTGGTTGACCTCCTCCCTAGAGGTTGTAGGACTACAAGCCCTATTGATAGGCGGAGGCAGGATATTCTGATCAAATACAAGCAAACGAACCTGGTTGACCTCCTCCCTAGAGGTTGTAGGACTACAAGCCCTATTGATAGGCGGAGGCAGGATATTCTGATCAAATACAAGCAAACGAACCTGGTTGACCTCCTCCCTAGAGGTTGTAGGACTACAAGCCCTATTGATAGGCGGAGGCAGGATATTCTGATCAAATACAAGCAAACGAACCTGGTTGACCTCCTCCCTAGAGGTTGTAGGACTACAAGCCCTATTGATAGGCGGAGGCAGCATATTCTGATCAAATACAAGCAAACGAACCTGGTTGACCTCCTCCCTAGAGGTTGTAGGACTACAAGCCCTATTGATAGGCGGAGGCAGGATATTCTGATCAAATACAAGCAAACGAACCTGGTTGACCTCCTCCCTAGAGGTTGTAGGACTACAAGCCCTATTGATAGGCGGAGGCAGCATATTCTGATCAAATACAAGCAAACGAACCTGGTTGACCTCCTCCCTAGAGGTTGTAGGACTACAAGCCCTATTGATAGGCGGAGGCAGCATATTCTGATCAAATACAAGCAAACGAACCTGGTTGACCTCCTCCCTAGAGGTTGTAGGACTACAAGCCCTATTGATAGGCAGAGGCAGGATATTCTGATCAAATACAAGCAAACCAACCTGGTTGACCTCCTCCCTAGAGGTTGTAGGGCTACTAGCTCCATTGGTAGGATGCAGGATATCTTGATGACCATCTGTAGTGGTGTTGAGTTCAGACTGGTCTCCCATTTCTGTACGGTCTAGCGCCTGCAGCTCCAGGGCTCTGGCTGGAGACATGGTCCAGGTGTAGAGAGGGTCATAGAGAAGGACCTAGGGACAGGAGAGAAAAGGGAATGGGTAACTTCATCTCAGATTCTAAAACTAAATCCTGGATTTAGCTCATGCTGCAATGATAATTATAACCCTTTAGGTCAGTCAGGAATCCCATGACTTTAACAAACCTGTCTGATTATCAAGATATTTATGATTAGAAATCTAAATTTCATTTTTCGTTTTCCAAACAGTTTTCATAACACTACATTCTATTGGGGAAAATGAGTATGATACTCAAAGATTTTTACTTCTTTGAGGCACTTCGTGATCATTCTGAAGCTCAATTTTTTTAGGGCTTCAATATTACACCATACCACATACACTGATAACACGTAGGACCATGCATCTCAGATTTAACATTGTTAAACGATGCCTTTAAATGATAGCCAACTACCAGTCGCTGAAGTACTATCCTGTATTTCTGGCTTGATATCTCTCAGGACTACATGGACATGACTAACTTAGCACATTTATATACGGATTCATCTTACTGTACGGCATATATGTATCTTCACAAGCTAAATCCCTTGAGCGTTTAAACAATAAGTATGTGTATAGGTCAATTATCCATCAATTGTAATAAACATAAAGATGCCATCATAATAGCATTATCATTTATATTTCAAATGTTTAGTTGTATCATCAGATGGAAATATATGAATGCAAACATTCTGATATATCAAGTTTATAAGATGAGGATTGAAATACAAGTATAGGCATGTCCTCAACGTGATATAATTTCTTCATATGTTTTCTAATTACACCTATGACAGAAGCCTAATGAGGATTAACATATATCAAATCTGGAAGAAAAAATAAAGAACTATCGAAAGACCCAAAGGTGATGAACGAGGGAAGCTGATTTACCTCAACCACTGTAAGAAGGGCTTCCCTTGAGTTGTGCATCTCCTCCATAGTCTTCTCACTACACCTGTCAAATACAACAGAAAGAAACAACTCACAATCTTAAACCTGAAAATATCATCTTCCATAGCTGCCAACCATTCCTATTTTGGAGGAATTATTTTTTGCTGTGAAAGGTATGCTGTTGCCACTCCCCCTATATCTCACTCTTCTAAAATACTCTATCCACCTTTCCTTCTTACTCTTTCTTACAGCCACCTTTCCTTCTTACTCTTTCTTACAGCCACCTTTCCTTCTTACTCTTTCTTACAGTGCATAGAGACATATTGTGATATGCGCTATATAAATACAGTATATTATTATTATTCACTCTTCCAATTCATTTGGTTTAATAGGGTGTCTAGTCAGGATTAGGACCATATCACATCAACCCCGGCCTTCACAATTTGTTTCTCAATAATAGCATTCCATTCTTGTAAATACATATCCACATTCTGATATTTTGAAAGAATGTCCTTGTGTGCTTCCCAAGAGCTTTGAATAATGTTACCCCAGCTTACGCTCTAGTTAGCAGCATGTTACATGGAACAGGTACCCACTTACTACAGCTTTCCTTTAAAGCCCCACTGTACTACTTGTAGCTACTTACTCCCTCTATATAAAAAAAAATATAGAAAAAAGGCCTAAGCATGCCTAATGGTCCCCCATGATCCTCTTTTTCTTAAGTTAATTAAGAGCTGAGTTGATGAGATAGCCACCTGTCAGTGACCTTGCAGGGTGGTCTAATCCCTCCTTGCCAAGCTAGTACAGACAGGCTTTAAAGATGAGATCCATTTCTTACCTTCTAAAGACTCCCTCTACACCAGCTACACCCATAGCATCTACTAGATCTCTTGTCAGACGGAATGGAACTGTCTCTGGAGTTGGGAGGTTACGACCCTGCTCAAAGGCAATACCTGAATGAAACGTGATAAAGCAAAGAATGGTTGACCGAGGTATCAAGAAAACATGAAGATATGTCTTTCATTTATATCTCCTTTTGGAATACTGACTAAAGTATTGCAGTTGAGTGAGTGGGTAAGTAGGGACTTCCCCACTTTCAAAAGGAATCTTAGACTGTTAAAAATGTTGCATTGTCCATTCTTGATGTGACTCTGATGTATCTATGATCAGCAGTTTAAAAAAATAAATTAGCTCTAATTCCCACACGCCCTTAATGGGTTCTGCTCTTGGTGTTAATACCAAGGGTGTGGAAATGCAGGAAAAAATATACCAACAATTTCCTGGACAATGAACAACCAATGGTATTAGAAGGTGCCACAAAGACCGAAGAAGGGCACACAAATTTCTACCGAGAAACCTGCGCTATTATTTGAGAGGAAGGAGGCATACTTACCAAGATCGATGTGAACAAGTTCTGCAGTGTTGCAGTCAATCAGGATATTCTGCACATGCCTGTCTCCAAGCCCCACGACGTAGCCAACTGTCAAAACACAAGAGAAAGAGGAACAAAATTAGTTTGACATGTGTCCATCCAGTGCAATATTTGTTACCGATATATCAAAACTAGAAACCTTTGCAATTATTGTGAGAAGTCCCTATTCATTGGAGAGTCATGGTGAACACAATTCACTAAAAGGGAAAGTTTATGGTTTTACAGGAACCAATTTCATGCAAACAATTCGCCTAAAATCTGGGTTTGGATGGATGGCGCTAAGTTCTTGTCAAATTGTCTTTCAAACCTTCAGAAATTTCACAAGCTTCATACTACCGGTATACACAAAGGGATAAGTTATTCATCAAATGCAGAAGATATCTCAATGTTAATGTATACAAAAACACTTACAACTACAAAGATAGAAAATCAGGAATATGAATTTAAAAGTGCCTCATTTCTCGCATTTCACAAACTTTCAACATGGCTGATGCATTCACCAAGTTCTTGTTTTCCGCCTCATCACAAAAGTCCTAAATTAATTTATACATCACATACTTACCTATAGATCCTGTGGCAACACTGCGAGTATAGCTGAGTCTCTTCTCAAACCAATCGGCTGGATCGAGGAACCTCTCCAAGAAGAAGTGATGAAAGACGGGCTGGAAGTTACGACACACGGTCGTGAAATCCCTGAACTTCTGGTTGTTATCACCAGACTGATGGGCAGCCTGGAAAATATTAATAATCTTCCACATTAATATACATGTATATTACAACAATTAAAATATGACTATTATATTTTGGATGTCTTTTACTTTTTTTTCAATTTGTTAAATTGAATAATAAGCAAGTCAGAGACACTAATTGCACATGGGCAGACAGAGGCCATTTGTACCAACTTGTAAAATCAGCCGAGATAATAATGGATAAATGCTCATGATAGTTACGTAATCAATATTCAAAATATGCAATCATGTATTAATAATAATACTAATAAATCTCATTTTATAAAGCTCTTAATGCGGAATATTGTCTATAAGCACTTTACAGATATTGACAGGCATTTTTATACACAGATGAAAAGTATTCTTTTTATAGATGTTTATTCAAGCACTAATTATACAATGCTGCACTCAGGACATGTGATATTGAAGTACCTAACTATTTACACTATCGTTCAAGGTGCAAAAAGATATATGAAATTCAAAACAATAACTAAACAATAGCGACTGAAAATGGAGGATCAATGATAAAATTATGAGCAATGCATGCTCATATATAGATTTATCTTGGACTATACTCACAGCCATCTTTCCCCTGCATGTTTTTGTCTTCCAGTCCCCCGGCCGGTAGCTTGCATGAGCACCAAGATCTTTCTTTGCGTCTCCTATGAGATAGAGACCGATAGGCATAGTCCCCTCACACCATTCTAACAAACCAGTGTTCTGACACAAAGGAACAACCTAAAACAGAACAAAACAATCATGGTTTTATAGTTTTAATATACACCCTTTATGAGGTTACTCCCGGTATTGGGAATATTAGGAGGTAGAACAAACAGCTGTTGTCATACAGTGTACTTTCATTTATTTAAAATGTATACAAAACATAGTTACATGACTGTGTAATAAACAAATCTTAACAGTAATTTACACATTTGAGGAAGACAAAAATTGAATTATACATTTAACTGCATTTATATTTTTAGGAAATGGAGAGGTCCACTGGAGCTTGTAAATTGTAATAATGAGTGTTAAAAGAGTATAGAATACATAAACAATCAAAGAAGAATAGCGGCCAACAGAGACAACAATATTAAAACATGTAATGACTGGAAACAAGAAGACGTCAAAAATTAATTAATTGATGTATTTTGCAGCACAAAATTCACATGTATGTAATTTTTTGTTCTGTTTAATGTGGATTAATGGGGGGGGGGGGGGGGCCTTCGAATAAAGGTATGTAAAAGTATATTTGATATATTTGAGACTGTTTCTGATTTTTTTTTTCATTGATAAATAGTTCATCTTTGTGATAGGCTGCATAGTACTCTAAAGATTACTAGAAAGAGAAGATGAATATTTGATGAATAATTATAAATTAGTTGAATAATAAATTTATTTAAATTTAAACTATACACATCCGGTTTTGCTACAGCTTGTTTTCATTGAACAGCTGGCATTAAGTCTACTTCCTGGCAGCGAATCACAGCCCCGTAGTTGGTGCGCACCTTGTTCCTATAGCTTTAGCTTATATTGTCTGACTTTGGCTTTCTGTTCATTCTTGCAAATCTTGCGAATTGCGGTTGAGTACAATGAAAAGCTTTAGGACGTCTGTATTCATTGCTATTCTTAAATCAACTTTTGAAAGGCAAAATAAAACTGTCCAAACAGCTTACAAATATAAGAATTCGGGAATTTAAAACTACTTAAAGATGTTGATGCGTGGTATATTGTCGTTTTTGAAGTAGGCAATTTGGCAATCACTACATAACACTGAGCCAATGGGTATTACGCTCCGGTAACTTTAAAGCAATGAAAGGGCTGAAGAGAGAAGTTATAAAATGAGGTATGATGATAATTACCTTGTATCTCCGGATTTGTAGTTTCCTTCTCTTTGTCTCTGTGCTCTTACTGAGCAGCTGGTTCACCAGACCAAAGACCTGCTGCATAACAGCATCCTGCCTTAAATCGTCTTTACCCTGGGAAACAAATCACAAAAGAGTGAAGACATTATAATAATAATAGTACATTTATAAAGCGAAGAAACTATCCAACATTAGGTATATATTCTACTGCGCTACAAGAGCTCCTGATATGCTTAGATTTATGGTACAGTTAATTAAAAAGAAGTGTTTTCAGTTTTTACTTAAAGACGTTTACAGATGGTGATTTCCTGACTTCAAATGGCAAGTTATTCCAGAGTTTTGGGGCTGCACAAGCAAATACTCGATCACCTAGCGTTATTTTTGTTTTGATAGATGGGATCTGTAGCAACAAAGTATCTCGGGAACTGCGCAAGTTGCGATTGTGTTGATTAGGTTTGAAATTCAACAGTTCTTTGATATAAGTGGGAGCTTGACCAAGAAGTGCTTTATATACAATCAGCAAGATTTTGAATGTTATTCTCTGGCGTACTGGTAACCAATGTAGATTTCTTAAAATTGGGGTGATCCGTGTGAATTTAGAACAACCACAGATCAGCCTTGCACAGGTGTTTTGAACCCGTTGCAATCTCACTATTTGACAGTCAGGGATCCCATACAGTAGACCATTACAATAGTCCAGCTTATTGGTGATACATGCATGTACAATGTCTTTCGTAATGTCCTTATCTAAATATTTACGAATACGTCTGAGATTATAGATCATGTAGTATGCTGATTTACAGACATTTGTGATGTGCTCTCTCATTTTCAAATTCGAATCGAACTGTACTCCAAGATTTCTTGCACTAACAGATGGTTCTATTACAGAGTCTCCAATTGATACACTGTTTAAGTTGATTTTGGATGTCTGTTTAGGTGTGCCAATGATCATTAATTCAGTTTTACCATCATTAAGCATGAGCCTATTTTGCAACATCCATCCACGTACATAGTCAACACATGTTTCTAGGAGTGAGACACATCGCTCTTTAGCATGTTCATCAGGTCTGAATGATACATACAGCTGTGTGTCATCTGCATAGTGGGAAATTTGTTCGAACATTTGAAATGAGATTAGCAGTGTATAGAGTAAATAACAAAGGACCCAGCCGAGAACCATGTGGAACTCCGAAAGGCACTGGCAAATCATCAGAGATCACATCGTCTATTTTGACCTTCTGATATCTATTCGCCAAATACGACTCTATCCATTCAAGAACACTACCATCTATGCCAAAACAGGTCTTTAAAGTTTCTAATAAGCAAGAATGATCTATGGTGTCAAATGCACTACTTAGATCTAATAACAGTAAAAGAGTGACTTTCTGGGAATCCATAGCCATCAACAGATCACTCTTTATTCTTAGCAGTGCAGTTTCAGTACTATGGAATTGTCTATATGCAGACTGAGTACATGGCGAAAGTGAGTTGTTATTGAGGTGATCCATAATTTGCTGGGTAGCAGCACCCTCAACCAACTTCGATATATATTTCAGATTGCTGATAGGTCTTAAGTTCTTAAAATCTGCGTCAAGACCAGATTTTTTCAATAAAGGTGTAATGAGGGCATTTTTCCATTGCATGGGAAAATGACCAGTCGAGAGAGAAAGATTAATCAATGATGTGAACACAGGAATTAATATGTCGATACATTGTAGAAGAAGTTTCGTGGGCATAGGATCTAAAGAGCATGACTTCTTACTGAAGTTAAGTATAAGTTTTTCAACTTGGTGCTCAGAAAGAGGTTTGAAATTGCTCAAAACATCGACATTATATTCAATATGGTTTGATTCCAAATCACTTATACTGCAATCCAAGTAACCGCATTCTAGAAGTTTACATTAATCAGAATGATTGTGCTTCAAATGAAAAGCCTATGGTAGATCTTTAAAAAAAAAGATTAATATTCATATCCTAATGAATAAAGCTAAATAGAACAAATATGACAACCTGTTAGAATTACAATGTGCATAATTATCACACAGTAACAAAGCTCACATATGCTTGTGAGAAGTTTGGGTAGCTTTAACCAGCACACAAGCCTACACTGTACTTGCTACACCTGGATCTAGAGAGTCAACTGGATGATAGAATGCCTAGTCAAGGTGCATACTCACCATGCTGGCATTATACCCCAGTGACACAGCAAGACTGACTATAGACTAACATTACTGACTTAACCAACATGACAAGCAAGTTATTGACCATTTTGTTGAAGTGTACTTTTCTTATTTGGTCTATTGTCAGTTTTGTAAGAGGTCCACAGCTGAGCTTCTTGGGTCATGTTATTCGAAAGAATAGTTTGGAAAATCCTGCTCTGTCTGGAAGAATAGAGGAGTAGGGGTAGGAGGAGGATTCTGTGCATGAGTAGCTTGAGGAGCGGGATTTCTGAAAATGGAATTGATCTCGGGGAGAATGAATTACTTCATAGAATATGGGACAGAGAGTTGTGGCATTCCATGGTCGTCAACGTACATGGCACTTAAAGAAGTCAGTTTTGTGTTAGTCTGATCCTACAACCTTGTGGTCCAAAGTCGAGAGGACAACCAACTTTTCCTGAGGGCCCTTACCTTGACCAGCTGTCTTCGCTTGACCCCATCTGACCCTCTGCAGGTGATGATCTTAGGAAGGTTGACACCGCCAGCAAGCTTGAAGGTGGGCTCAAAGCCTTCAACATACACTATGTCGTCATAGCAACAGGATGCATCCACCTTGAGTTCCAGAGTGGGTACTGCTACATGATGCAGGGATTTCAGATGAAGGAGGGGCTGGTTGGAGGCTATAGAAATGGGCCCTGAAAGTGAAAAGAGCAACAGAGCATTGGTAATAACTTTAGAACTATACCGGTATGCATTTACAGAAAGCTCTTCTTGGTCTAAACATAATGCAGACAAGAGTACACTTTGGGGTGGAGAGACCTTTCTACAGCCAGAAAAGCTACATCACTTGAAGGTTTAATATAAGTCACTATTATTCAGTGTATAATTCAACAGAAGCATTCCTATCAAGTTTAGAATACAATAAAAACAGACTGAGTAAAAATATAGACATTCTTGGAGTGAAACCCTACAGGACAGAAGGAAACAATAGTTCTAATAATTTTAATGTTTCTTTATGCTTGAAATGCTAAGAAATCTAGCCTATGCTTGTAGATCAGCAATATAGAGACATAAGGAGCCATAGGACTTTAAGTTTTACGCAAGGATTACATGCATGCAAAGGAACTAGGAATGCATGTCTCTGCCAAGGGCATAAGCACACTGACTTGGTTTCATACTTGGAACCACCCACTTAAAACACAGCTGAACAAACGACTGTTATTGTCCCTCCTATTCTGTTCACTCAAAGAAGTGAACTTACTTGTTTCCGATTTCTTTGATGACATGTCCCAATAGGCCATCTTGATGTATGCCTCTGAGAGCTTGTTCATGGCAGGTATGATGTCACAGCAAGGCGTCTTGGCCATCAGTCTGTCTCTCATGCCTACAGCTGCTTGCATGCGATCCTGGTTTGAAGAATAAACACAAAGACACCATCATAAGAAATTCTATATTTTGTTTAGAGTCATAGAAGGTCGTATACATGGAAAGAAGAAGAGGGAAAGACCTCGTAAAGGCTTTCTAGATGATTTATTCGCAGAATGTGGAGCAGCAGGATATGAAATGCTGGCTCAAGACCGTGGTACTTAAAGAAACTTGATGTAGAATTCTGATTGGCTCACTGAACCTGTCACAAACTGACAGATTATATTGATGATCCTAAGGATATCATTTTGTCATGGAAGTGTCATGATATCAGTTCATTGACTCGACTTTCAATCAAGACGCTGAAGGTTTAAATCTCTGCTCAGCATTAATATCCTTTAGCATGACATTAAATGAAATTTGCTACTCCATATCCTCCCTAATGCCCGAGCGCTACATATTTGGTTGCTCTGCTTTAAAATGACTCCCATCAAAGCACTTGATCAGTGACTTGTAACTGAAAAGGCACTATATATATAAAGCACTTATTTTGTTTATTTCTGACCTAACTGTCTTTTAAGTTAATAATAATAATAATAATAGCTCACATTTATAATGTGCCTAATACTTTGTTTCTAGGCGCAGCACATATTATTACCCCGGTCATCAAATTCAGGCATACCCACAACACAATGTATGCACATTTTCCACTCCCTGGGGAGAATCTCACCTTGTCTGTTTGAGAGAGGTCTCCTCCTCCACTACTCCTACCCAGTTTTGTCTTCTTGGAGTTGATGACAGTGTCCAGGTTAGCGTTGGCCAGTGCCAGGATGACCGGTAGAGCATGGTGAGGATGATCCGCTGCCACCCTCTCTATCAGACCAGTCAGGATGGTGTAGAACTGCTCCTTGCCTTAATAATAATAATAATAATCTATTATTATATAGCGTATATCACAATAATAAATTTAAGTCCTTATGTGACCAAAAAAAGAAAAGAAAGTATAATAGCAGACATGAGGGAGAGAAGAGAAGGAATAACTGCTTTGTCATAACAAGGTACTTCTTTAACAAACGAACAAATGTGTCTTTAGGAGACTTTTAAAATTTTCTACTGTATCAACCTGCTTAAGATGACTAGGTAATTTATTCTATAACTCTGCAGCAGCCAGTTGAAAGGATCTCGCGCCATACATGTAGTAATTTGTTGATATTGAGGGAGGAACTAACAAGGATTGTGACTGAGAGCGAAGGTTTCTTACCTTGGACCTTGGTGGTCATCCTAGCAGCTAGCTGGTACATCATAGGCAAGAACTTCCTGCTCTCAATCTTCCCGATGGTGTCTTCCAGCAGGAGGCTGATCTGGACGTCCGTGCCGTTCTCGAACCAGAGGGAGCAGAGCCGGAAGACTCGGGTGTCCTGGGACTGGTCGGAGGCCTCTAGGCAGTGCAGGTAGCATTCCATGGCACGCGCTAGGAAGGTTTGACGATCTTCCCTCAGGGACTCTACCTCCTTCTTGTCTATGGCCAACTGCTTAGCCTGGATTCGGTAAAACCTATCACATATAGACATAAACAGAAATTTGAGACTTCTGATACTTGTAGATGCAACAATATCAAAAATCAAATTTGGTTGTCCCCTTTTTTACAACTCAGGGATGCCAGTTAGAATTGATCAGAGGGCCTGAAATTCACCTACAATGAGCTATTTTGTACAGAAAAAAGCCTTAACTATGGTCTGAAAATAACTTGCCAGGTCCTGAATTCAGGCTATTGCCTAAAAATTGGCATCCCTGTCACATATTCTCATACTTGACGATTAAGGCGACGCGTCAAAAATATCGATACCAGCAGGCTGCCGCCTCACGTATTGGCGCATCGAGGCTGCAATTACGGCCGAAGCCTGGCTGGGGCAATTATTTTTCACTTATTAGCCCAGCCGGCTTGCGCCAGGCTGGGATCTGAGGCTCGGTTTCCATTCGAAAGGCGGCAGCCGGCGCATGCTTTTGAATGCCATTTCCTACCGCCAGCGGTAGCCGGCTGAGCTAATTTAAAAAATGCAGCCAGGATGCACAAGTGCAGTTAGCTGCCGCTGGCTGGTATATTTATTTTTGACGCCTCGCCTAAACAAAAATCAAATTTGGTTGTATCCTTATTTTACAACTCTATAAAAGGGTTTCCCACAGAAATTTGAGAACCAAATTCCATAACTATCCACAATGCATTTTTTTTTCCATGATCATATAAGTACAATTTTGGAATGAGTTGTGGCATCCAAGCGGCAGTACAAATACGCCCAATGTCAGTTCAAACTGGAAGGCTGCCATAGCATCTCATGGACCATACCCATAATCAATTTCCATGACTTTACAGAAGAATTTATTTTCCCATGAATTTCTAGATTTTTCTATGATCGTGGACATCCTGCTATTACAACTGTGCAATTTAATACTTGGAAGCGCAGATGCGATAGTACGTCACATGCTGTGGTGAAAATTGCTCAGCAGTCAATTTTTAACATTAACTGAATTCCTTAAATTCAATCCTGGATATGGCATTCTAGCTAACCCACACTCTCAACCCAAATGAAACCTATAATCCCATCACAACCGGTATCATCTCTGACAAAATAAAACCCAGAGCAAACGTTGCAAAAAAAAATGTTGTACATCAAACCAATATGGGGTATCTCCATACACACAATCTATCATTGGTAAAATCAATTTTACCAATTACTAGATTAGTACAACCCCCCCCCCCCCCCCCCCAAAAAAAAAAAAAAAAAAAAAAAAATTAAAACAAATAAATATATAAATAAAAATGTTACCTATCTGAGCTGCCGATGCCAATGCTCCTCAGCTTCTCAACATTCTCCAGTGAAGTTTTCATCAGCTTCCTCTTATCTTCATAGTCTTTAGACTTCATGTATTCCACAAGGCGTTGGTACTGAGCATCAGCAAACCTGGCTAGGGAGTGGTAGGCATTGACTGCTTCAGCACTCATATCTTGTTTCTCATGGAAGATGGTGAACGCCTGCAAATAATCAAATTAAATTCCATGAAAACTATTTTGAATTTGATAACATTTGGAAAGATTTCCTTTTGCGACAGCCACCTAGAATCTAACCCTAACCCTACATTATCTCTAACCCTAACCCTTTTTTATCATGTTTTTTTTTATATCATATCATTAATAGATATATCATTCTAAGCTGTACCCATATTTTTTCTCTCAATTTGGATGGCTGTTGCAAAAGGAATTTTCCCTAACATTTAATTTGATTCAATTATAGACGGTCAAGATTGTACAGAGATTATAAATTCCAAAAAACACGTAATTGCACCCTTCAGCGGGGCACACAAACCACTTTATGAAAAGACTGACCTTTTCCAAATAGTCCTCCATGATGACATTAGGGCTCTGTGACCTGGTTTCAGCTAGCCAGTTGCCATGGATACTGAGTGTTGTGGCATAGATCTTGTAGTGACTGGAATCCTGGGACTGTGTAAATTTAAATGCAAAGAAAATGAGGTCATTTTGAGGTCTTTAATTTTGATACAAATTATTCATTTTAACAATCTCCAACATGCAAAAGCATACTACAGTCAAACCTGTCTATAAAGGCCATCCAAGGGAAACATAAAAAGTTGCCACTGTAGAAAGGTGGCCTTTGTAGACAGATTATTCAACACATGTTTCCTTCCAGAGGAAAAAAATACAGGTGGCCCATAAGAGAGGTTTGACTGTAGTAATCATTACTTGTGGGAAAGCATAAATGTATATATATATATAATATGTGTATGTTTATTTCTGAATTATCAAGAAGGAATTATTTGCACACTTTGAATTGCACAATTGCCTTTGAGCAAGGGTTGATCTGCTCATATGGTAAATGACTTTCTTCCTACCTGGAGGGTGTTTCACAAAGCCTTTTTTCAATGACAAATGACAAATCTACTGATAACAGTAGCTTATAACAAAAACTGTCATTTATCACTGATGACAAGTTTTGTGAAACGGGGCCCAGGTGTCATCTACTACAATTTGGGTAGAGAGAGACCCATAAATAAACATACCCTGTCTACGACCATGAGCATCAGGCATTAATTAAACATTATCAACAACTCAGAAGGGTGATTCATGTCTTACTCTGGCAACAGCAAAGGGATAAGGCTTGGATTTCAATTGGGTTTTACATGTAAGTGAGGTTTAGGGTTAGGATTAAAGTGAGAAATATGATAAGTCTTGACCACACAGACCATCACACCAAAACACTACCACAAATACATTTTCCATACAGCCTCTCTCAGTTGGTGAACTTACCTTTGATAACTTATCAATGAGAGCTTTCATGAGATGTAATGCTGTGGTCCTCTCATTTTTAGCCCAGAAGAGTTGCGCCTCTTCTAGAGAACTTAAACACCCCTCTAGTACAGTGTTCTGGTCCGTCTTCTGCTCCAATTCTTTCAGATGAACTAGAGCTCTCTCAGCAACCTGAATACAGAAAAAAAAGCACAAAACGTAACAAATTTAACAGTAAAAAGATTAATGATCACATTATTTCTGATCTTTGATTCTTTTTTTTTTTAAAGCATGCATATTTTTTTCTTTCAGTGTAGAACAAATGTAGCAATCATGCAAATACTTCACTGGTCAATTCTCTTTACAAAAGTTAATGTATTCTAAATTGTTTGGCTAAGGAAGTAGAAAACATAATATACATTTCCTGTAAAGACAATGGCGATAATTCACGGCATTTGCATGGTGTAATTTATCCATTACCACAGCATATCTAAAGGCACAGAAATTACCAAAATATTTCAAATTTGAGTATTCAATTCTGTTAGCTTTGGTATGACTTTGTGCCGCATGATACCATATGTTAAATAGTTTATTCAGTAATGCAAGGTAAAACCTTGGAAACCAAAAAGCGTCAAGCCGCACCTTAAACCCTTGATCTATAAAAGCTGATAACAATTCAATCATCTTCACCTGAAACCTTTCAGCATCTCTAGCCCACTGAATCTGTGTCTTGAGGTGGCTTGCAATCCCATCATGCAGCATTCTACGCTGATCTCCGTCCATCGCATCAGGCACTAGACAAGAGAGGATTGATCTGAGGGCCAAGGTGGGTTCACTGAACTCAAAGCTGTTGTTCATGAGGGGGAGCTGTGATGTCCATGCGTCAAATATAGGTAGACTGTCTGTCCTGTGTCTGCATAAAATAAGTAGCCCATCACATAGTTTTAAGTTAATTTAAAGCTTAGTTTTCAATTGAGGAATTACATTTCTGAAGAGCTGATGATGAGCATTGGTGGGGAAGATATAGTATAGGAAATATGTTTACTTTTTTATTATTTGAGTAAATGTTTAGGACAAGCTAATGGATCATATCATATGCGGATACGCTTCACTACAGCATAGAAAATAGATTTACATGAATACAATCAAACCTGCTTTAGTGACCACCTGTCTACAGAGACTAGTGCTGTAGTCAAACGTTTAACCGTCCGGTATCCGACCGCCCATGGCGGATTCCGTTTTCAATTGGACGGTTTCGTTTTCCCGTTTTTTTTTTTTATAATTTTTTTTTTTTTTTTTAATATTTTTTTTTTTGTTTTGTTGTTGTAAAGTTTCGATTTATGCCCCTCCACCTGGCACTATGCCTGGCAATGTCTCCCAGCTCAGTAATCGGTGTGATGACTTACCACTTGGAAACTAGAACAACACTCCAATTTGTCTGTCATCTTGGTTTGAAAGTAATCTTTGCAATAGATCTCAATATATATTCATCCAAGTTTAACACATGGTGTACCACAAGGTTCTATCCTAGGTCCTCTACTGTTTTTAATTTACTTTAATGATCTTACACATTATTCTAAAACGACATTGTTACTATTATTTGTGACTAGTTCACAAGCACAAATCGGCGCCTTCAGTTAAATCACCTTCCTGCTTTTTCACACGGCCAAAAAAAAAAAAAAAAAAAAAAACGATTTTTTTTTTTTTTTTTTTTTTTTTTTTTTTTTTTTTTTTTTTTTAATTTTTTTAAATTTTATTTTTTAAATAAATCGTTTAACCGAAAACCGTCCGGTTTTGACAGGCGGTTAAACGGAATTGGAGATATCCGTGATGTTACAGCACTAACAGAGACCACATTTTAAAGTTTCCCTTGAAAATGATTTTTCATTGAAGCATGTACTAAAGGAACCTGTACATAAAGACCACCTGCCTATAAAGACTACTTTTCTTGTCTCCCTTGTGTGGTCTTTATAGACAGGTTTCACTGTAGATGTGCTATATATACTGATCCTATTAATATAAATTACTTAAATCACCTTACTTTTTATCCTGTTCATAAATTACTTTCAATACAAAATTATCTCAATTTATCTTAGAAATTTTACCCCTGGAAATAACAGCTCTTAGCTCACTTTTTCTTTCAAAATCTTCAGCAAACTTCCTTCAGAAATTTGGTATAAAAAATCTCCCATCTTACCTGAGTATGAAAGGGGCAACGTTGCTGATCTCCTGTAGCCCCCTCAGACTTGTTACCAGAGGGTAGATCCTCTGCACGCTCTCCAGGCTCACGTGAGCCAGGAGGTGGGTGAGTCCTGCCGTTGCTCTCTCCACGGCTACCTGGTACGAGGACTGATCTCTGGTCTTCAGACTGCACAGCGCTCGGAAGACATTCTCATGGTAACCCAAGGAACCCTCTACAGAGCTGTGGTATAAACAAGAAATGTAGGTAAGTGTTTGGCCATGACAATGTCTGAAGTCTTTATAGGAATCCCTCACTTCATCATATTTGGGTAATACTCTGCTGGTACAGCAAATAAGATTTGTATCGACTTAGTAGTTGATTTTATTGACTAGGTGATCAAATCGACCAAACAATTTATGAGTCATCCCTTTACGTGTGGTTTGCCCTCCAGAAAAACTTCCAAACTTGTCTTAGTCCCGGTCTAAGGTTCTGTCCGGTGGTCTTCCGAGACCTATGTGACACAATTATTGTTCTTCTAGATCCAGGTCCCAAAGCCCATTCCTCAAAGCCGCCTCATACTGATATCCAGGTAGACCCTGGCGTCCCCCACACAATTGGCTCTGGGCGTGTCATATTAATCCTGGTCTTGATAATCTAGGATTAATGGTCATATATACCTTTCTTCTAGATCCAGGTCCCATAATCCATTCCTCCAAGCTGCTTCATACTGATATTCAAGTAGAGCTTGGTCTCCCTCACATTGCTGGCCCTGGGCCTTCTGTCCAGCTAGATAGGTCTGCAGGATCCCAGATAGACCAAAGTTCTGCATCGCCTGTAAATATTAAAAGTTAAGAAATTCAGAAAAGTATAGAAAAGTATAGAAGCTTCATCTTCCTGCATACAGTATTGTTAATCAAAGCCATTACCCTTAATGAAAGAGCTGGTGGTTACATACCAGAGCAGCCAACCTCCAGAACAGAAAATTAGTAATCACAAGGCTCAAAATCAGTAATTTGGGGAATAAATCAGTAATTTCGTAAGCGGCGCTATGAATCTTAAACAAAACAGAACGCCAACACTACGCGGACGCATGCGCACATGATTGTTTGAACAACAACATTTAGACAACATTCCGTAATGATCGTTAATTTCCGTACCAATTACGGGAAATCCGTACTAGTTGGCAGCTCTGACATACATATTTGTAGAAGAAAGTACAAACATGAAGATGTCATTGGTAATGGCACCAAAAGAACAAATACGCAGTCCATTTATCAGGGCTATATGTTTCTTGATCACAGCAAACAGTGTGTCAATCTGTAAAAACCTCTTTTTTATGTAAAGATAGGTATCGGTAGGTTCATGTCACAATGCAAGAAAAAAGTTTATTTTTCTTCGTAAAGAAAAGTAAGATTTTCATATTTCTCAAATATGAAATGTACCTTTAAAAGACCAAGCTGTGTGGCCTCTGAGCTTGATGACTGCATCTGTAGATCATACGCTGCCAGTGCCTTCCCCCACTCACCCTCATGCTCATAGGTATGGATCCTGTATCAAGAATCAAAGACAAATAAAATAAATGCTGCTTATAAGTATCGGCTTGCATGGTGATGTAGATTTACAGTAGGCTTACGGTTGCACCATGTGACCAACCGGCGCTATAGTTCTCTTTAGAACTATAAGCTCAAGAAAGATTACCAACAGTCCTTTTCAGAACTCCCCAATCCTCCTCCCCCCCCCCCTCTCACATGGTGCAACCGTAAGCCTACTGTGTAAAGAAAACATTCTAATGAATCAAGACAACTTGTGGTTGACCAAAATGCTTTTCTATGACTGAGAGTGTATGTAAAATTCATAGCACTGTTGCCTTCAATTACAAGGATTGAGAATCAATCTTGAATTCTAACTTCACAACTGCTGGCAAAGGGTGGTTGAGATGATTTACAGATTTGTCTTACATTGGTTAAGCTATTAATCCTGTCATAGGCATGATACAAGCCTGATCCACAGTAGCAGGAAAATCAAGAATAACAAACGATTCTTATCTTGTCCCTCTCCCAATGTTATGTTTATGTTTGCGTAACTCCCTCAAAAGTATTTTTAATCTAGAATCAGTAAATAGTCCAACAGTGTGATTCTTTTGCTATGGCAAACTGTCGTTAATAGTAATAATAATAATAATAATAATAGCTACATTCATGTTGCACACATATCCATCCTGGGATGCTCAAGGCAATTACAAGGTGGAGTTGTTGTGGTCAAGCGGATACATCACTAGACACTAGATAACACGGTTTGCGATTTGAGTCCTGCTGTGGGACTACAAAGCCTTCTCTTCCCAAGGACAATAGTGCCACGACGGACTCGAACCACTAACCATTTGATCCACAGTCCTGTGACGTATCCATTGTTTTATAAAATGATGTTTTCTAAGATGATTTTGATAATGACCGGTAATTACCATTTGATAATTACCGGTCATTATCCAAATTATGCGCGATTACGTGTTAGGCAAAATAAATGCCTGGTCACGTGTACGCTTTCAACCCATCATTTGATTAGGATCCACGTCATCATCTTATAAACCTCAGCATCCCTACTATACTCATATCCCACCTTGCATTAGTATCCACCAGCCTGCCGGCTCCACACCCATACACGCTATCTGGTTCTCCTATGCTCCCGAACGCCTCCATCAGAAGAGTCTGGAGGTTGATACCCGTTACCATGGAGATGGATGCGAGGGAGGCGGAGTCCTGGGAATCCTGGCTGAAGGTTTCTATGGCTCCTCCGTTCCGTGCGGGTGGATTGGTCATCCTACAGATGAACAAGGGATATAGATAGATTTTGGACTACTTGAAGAGTCTTCTCAATGCAGCACACATCTTTTAGAGAGCATGCTGAAATAAGTTATTAACGCCTGCCGTATCTTTTCATTGATTACATCATATTTTTTCTTATCTTGATTGATCAATTCAACAAATTAACAAAAGGAATTATAAAAAATTGTTGAAGAGATTAGCCAAAGTAGCAAAATGAGTATACAGCATGGGAGAGAAAGAGTCAATTCTCCATCTTATAAAATATACAAGCTTATTACATCATAATTTTGTATCAATTTTCTCAATTTCATATATCTATCAACCTTCATCCAGAACTGTTATACAATCTGCTCTGTTTGACTAACTTTATCTCAAAATAGGCCAGTTTCGTAATGTATTCAGAGACCTTTAAATCGCATTACGTAATCGGAGGGTCGGACAAGCAAAGAACTCGCGGTGCGTAGCAGACTACACTTTGCGTGCATACCATACGTGACTGTGTTCGTTAGGTGTGATTGTATCGTTTGTTTTCGCTATTTTGAGAGAGAGAGAGAGAAGAAAAAGGAGGCAGTTTCAAACTTGAATAATAAATATCTTTGAGATGTGACTTTGTTCTTCATACATTTGATCTTTAAAATCGCTGAGTCTTAGGCAAGAATAATAGAAAAGCATTGCTGGTACAGAACTAGCGATTTACATCTTGCAGCTAAGCCTGTTCGGCCAAGTCCCCGGTACAGGCAGCGCACGATACCCCCTCAAAAAGAAGAAAAACGAGGTCGATGATACAAGCGACATTGGCTTGAAAGCCAGTGATGAAACAGGAAGCGAAGCACCAAAATATAAGTTAGCCAGCCGATATCGGTAATTTCCATTCAATTTTGCATTTACCTTAGCTTGAATCTGAGTACAAATTTGGACGTAGAAATGAAAGAAGTGATGAACTATTTCCCACTCGTTCGCACACACAGTCACCTCTGCTTGCAGAAGCGTGCGCGCGTACCACGTGTTCGTGTTCGTGTAGGCGCGATTCACATTTTCAAAATGAAAACAATTTTACGGATTAAAAAATGTTTGTGAAACGCCTCGATACGGACTATTTTAAGGCGGACGAGAAACGGCTAACGAGAAGCAAGCACTGACCGCAGAATCAATATTATTAACAAAAGCAACGAGAAATAATGACAATAAAGGTAATAATATAATATATAAGGTCTTTGTTAATAAAATAATATTCATAAAATAATATCGTCCGATGACAGAGAGCTAGAAAAAGAATGATGAATAATGATAAACAAATAATTTTGAACGGAAAAAATGAAGAAAAACAATGAACAAGGAAAAAGAATGATAGAGCAATGGAAAAAGGGAATAATAAAAGTAATAATAAAAAACCTTATGATGGCAAGGAAGAAGAATCAGGATGATGAATAATTTTATTGTTTAGAATAAGATTAGGAATTAAGTTTGATTTTCATAAAATAAAAGTTAATAGTATTAGACTACAATTATGCCGGACCTTCGTTATTCAACTTCAAGAAGCAATTATTATTATTTAAAAAAAAACATTTAAAAATAAAATTGTTATTACATTTTCTATTAGATCTAGTCTAGACTTCTACTTTTTATTTGTTTATTATTTATATATTTTTTCTTTTTGTTCAAGTTGGTATGTTCTGTCTTTTTGCGTCGGTTTGATCTGTATAATCTAGTCACAAGTCGCTATCATGAGCTGCCGAGAGCTAACTAGAGGGGGGATTGTACTCGAGCTTTTCCAGGCCACATAGCTATGGCCATCGGGAAATATCAATCGAAAGTCTTCAAAACTCATAAAAGCCTTTAGTTTTCGACGATCATAAATGCATGGTCCGCCATATTCTCTACTAGATAATTGAATACGTCATAGGTCCCAAAGTCAGGAATATCGTCAAAGGGAGGTATGTAACTAGATCACTTAACGAAAATCCTGCCCGTTGTAATTTCCCCATACAGTCACGTCTACCGAGTGACACGGACCCCGTAGGTCATGGGCTACGGGCAGGCTAGTCCGCTACTGCGGACGCTTATTTAACGAGTCTTTTCTCGGGTGTATACCGTAGTCGAAACTCCTCTTTTTCTTAGAAAATATTGCAGCTGCCTGAAACTCAACTTGATGAATGGCAAGTTGGAAGACATTTCCGGCCAAAACAGAAATTCATATATATACACGCAGTTTTGATAGAAAGATATGAATGAAATTTAACGGCAAGAACCGACAGTCTAATACACAATGCACAGATTCAAAATGGTGATTTGACAAAGCTTGTCGGGCTTGGTTACAGTAACCGCGCATTACGTAACCGCCGAAACTGGCCTATTACCTTGCTTTGTTTGGTCATCATCCAACCACTATAATCAGAGATTGATAGCACTTCACTATCTTCATTCCTGAGTGGAACTAGTTACCATGAAAACCACTTCCCACAAGACGCAGTAATTAAACTGCGTCCAAAAACCACCAAATCAAAACTACATGTAAACAGTGTAAATGAATGACAAAACAATAGTTTATTGAGGGGGAGAAAAAAAATATCAGCTGCATGCATCAATGAGCTATATGGGTGTTCCCATGCTCACTGACCTTTGTATTTTAAAATACAAACAAGTGAAGCGCAATCTGGTGCAATATGTCATCCCATTATACAATTTTTGTTTCTCTTTCTTTCTTTTTCTTTTTTTCTTCAAGCAGTTTACCCCCATGTCTGATTAGCCACAAGGATCCCAGAGCGTACCTTTGTTCATTGCACCATACTTCAGAGTACCCGTAGTCTAATCTGAGCAGCCTTGGTCTGCATCCAACCAAAAGTTGTCATCCTATTTTTGCTGTATCACTGACCTAGCACAACCATACAATGTACATTTACCCCTCTTCTAGACCATGTATACCTCCAATAAATTGCACCACAAGGATCCTAGAGCGCGTGTACCTTTGTTCATTGCACCATATTTCAGAGTAGAGTAAGCAGGTGAAGTGAGCCTCACACATCTGAGCAGCTTTAGCCATCTGAAGGTAGTCCACTTCCAACCAGAAGTTGTTGTCCCATGGAGTGAAGCGAGATGTCCTTAAATATAATTATAAATGAATTTCAATATTAAGGGTTATCAATGTAAATATTATACATGTAAATATGTAAATATTCTGTACATCTAAACTGCATATGAACAACATAAACAAAAGCCTGAGAGAAAATGTTTTAAAAAAGCCATAAGTATCAAAATACAGTCAAACCTGTCTATAGTGACTGCCCACCCAAGGGAAACACAAAAAGTGGCCTTTGTAGACAGGTTCCTTTAGCACTAGACATGAATCAATGAGAAACCATTTTCAAGGGAAACAACAAATGTGGCCTTTGTAGACAGGTTCGACTGTATATACATTGTACTACATTACAGTTTACAAACCTAAACAACTGACAGCTTTATAAAAGTCAGGAATGAAAATCAAACAAGAATAAAATAACATTCTCTTAAAGGTTAATACACTGTTTATCTTGTAGACAAACCTTGTATCAGATTTTACAAAATCGCAGTGTTGATTTGAATCAACGATATATCTTAATTCTACTGGAAAATAAGTAATCTGCATTGCCTCTTCAAAATAAAGTCAATCACAATTTTGCTCCTTTGTTTTTAATTTAAAAAGGATTTCGGTTCTGCCTCATACTAACCTACTGGACCTCTCTTGCGTTCTAAGGTAGTGGATTGTGTCAAGCAGAGTCTTGATTGACCTTTGACCTAGACCTTGGTTTCTCTGGTCTACAGTCCAAAATAAATTAAGAATGATTCTGTAAAATGGTTTCAATGAGTACATGTATATGAAGGAATAATCATTGCAGAGAAAGGAAATAGTATGGAATATAATTATGCCTGACCCATGATTTACTTATTACTTTAAAAAGATATTTTAATATTCATGCCTCCAAGAAATGAGATGCTTCAGGAAGAAGCAATATCCTTGTAGCAATTTGATTCTGAGATTCAAAGAGCACTACTACCCTGCAGTAAGGAATCATCCTTGATTACCATGTCTCAAGCACAGAACTTCTATCAATGAACCTCAGGCGCTTAATTTATGGAGACTTGCAATTGATTGGATTGTCTATTGACTTGCCATTGGCCAGACATTTATGATCGATTCAGTATAGTTTACAATTGTTTACATGACATGGCCCAGATTTCTGATATACCATCATATGCTAGCAGTGGCTTCCTTTGAAACAGGTGAAGTAAAGACACAGAGAATCAACACTGAAAAGGGAAATGGGATTGGGAGCCTGGTATGGGATTAGAAGCTTGACTGTTGATAATTAAACTCCACCACGTAATACTTTCAAGAATGCATTATAATTCAAGAATTCCCTTTTCTTTAATCCCACGCATTATGATGTACAACACATGCTACAACTACAGTTGTATGCTCCAAATTCAACCCAACACTCAAAACTTTTCCTAATTCTAAACCTAACCTAAATTAAAACCTACATATAGTTTAATGGCGACCAAACACTATTCCCAATATTTTTATTAAATAAATCCTAGAGATAATGTTGCTAGAACATTGTCAGATCAGCATGAAAATATCAACTTTTTCCCAGTATGAACACTCACCTAGTGAGCCTGGCATAGGTGTAGGAGCACGGCTATTGCTGACGGACTCTGTGAATGCACTGAACACTCTTTTGATCTGTTCAGAGAGGATCTGCCTGTAGACATTGTTATCAGCTGTAAGGATGTCGTGGATGAGGTAGGGGAATACCCGCTCAGCAAACTCAACCTGAGGGGGAGTGCAAAGAATGGCATAAACCCTGAGAGAATTTCTCCTTTTTGACAAGTGATGACATTTCACATGCACTGACTTGCACTTGAAAGGCAATGCATAGATATTGTGATGTTTAAAAATACATTGAAGAAGTGATGTTAAATCTTATAATCAATACCATTTCAGTGATATGTTGTTGAAGAAACAGGTCCTAGGAATAAAAATATACAATAGAACCAGGAAAGAAAGACTGACAATATATCTTGTCTCTTTAATACTATTACATGGCATTTTATTCATGAGAAACATGATCTTATAGGGACCGTCCCCATTCCCACAAGACAATGGGGTGATTCCAGGTGTTTCATGTATTTCAAAATGGGTATTGTTTTAAAATGCCCCCCCCCCCCCTCTCCTTGAAAAATACAAAAAGATAAAAAATAATATTAATAATATATATATATGTATATATATATTTTTTTACCAGTTTGGGATTGGGGATCACTAAATGAGTACTGTCTAAGGGGGTGGTTGATTAGATTGTAGCTATCCTTCTCATATATGCACACATATATGCAACTATCCTAGCACTAATTGCCTGAGGTCTTTTTTGTCCAGAGATCTTTTGTCTTACTTGTAGGACATGGTTGTCCTAAAGTCACATCTGTTCTCACCTTGGCCAAGCAGATAGGTTCTAGCAGTCTGAGGATCTCATCCCTCACCCCACCGCTCTTGATTAAAGCCACAGTCAGGGCCTTCAACCATTCCTCATGACTTCCTTTCACCGGTTGCCATAGCGACTCCTCACCGACATGCCTCATGAAGGCTTCATCACAGCTGTCGATGGCGGGCAGTTTGATGATCTGGTGAGATGTTTACAGAACAGATGAAATGTGAAATAAATATAAACTTGCCTCTAGAGTTTGCCAAAAGAAAAAAGTAAAAGTGACCACTGTAGACAGTATGCTTTCTAAAGAGGATATTAAATTATACTTTTCCGATGAATAAAATGTTAACAATTTCCAATACTGACCAGTTTTAGATATGGCATTTTCTTAAGGTGTAACCAATAAATAAACAGAAAAGTGGCTTTTCAATGGATATTTTACAACCAGTGTCATATCAGAGGAAAGTGTAAAATTTGTCATGTTGACAGGAGCAATTTCTAATTGTTTCTACATGTACATACATTTTGAATAATACTTTATCTGGGAGTGAACTAACACCATCATAGAAATATTTCATCTGGAGTAATCCATTAAAGCTCTTCAATAGTTGGTTAATTAAATATCTCATATTCTTGTAGCCTTTTCAGGGATGATTTAATGTCTACTTATGGCATAAAATCTTGTATGGGGTGCTTTTCCCACTTGCATTTCTGACAGCATACTGCACAGAGCTGAAATAGACAAACATTTATACCTATATACCCAATATGCAAGTGCTCTGGTAAAAAAAAAAACATGGCAGTCTCAATAAACAGTTTTTCACTTTTGCCACAAACGTGATACAGAACAAAGCATGAAGATGCCGCACTAGACTGTACCTTATTCTTGGATGTTTTGAAGGGATATAGATAAGCCAGCAAAGTGTCAATGTTCTGGTCTCTGTACTGCTCGTAGAAGGTCTGTCCACTCCTTGTACCTAGCACCATCTTCAAGCACTTGGCAGAGGCAGCTACTACATCAACACTGCCACAAAACGATACATTTATACAAATATTTCAGAAATTTTGATTAGGTTAAAGATAAAGACCAGTTATGGTCATGCGATTGCATTGTGAAAGAAACGTTGTGGAATCGATCAGAAAGGGTTGATCGTCTAGCATATAAGTATTGGTGTGTACTGCAAGGTTCTGGAATCATCAAAATGATAAGAAATTTGGCCCAGTCTTGGTAAAGTTACAAGCACTGTACACAGAAAGATGTATATGGGATTACAGATACATGCATTATATCTATCAGGTCCAAAGAGATATAATATTTTACAAAATATATTAATTAGTAGGCGGTTTCTCGGCAAAATTTGTATGATTAGTATTAGTCAAAACATATTCTTTCACATGATTGGTAATAAGAGCTTCCATTTCATTTTTTGAGAGGGGGGCGTTTCCAAAACTGGTCGTTACCTTTAAGGGTAGAATCAGAAAGTTTTGCTATTATGTTCAAATTTTGCTTATCAAGGACAATAGCTAGCATGTGTACCTCTTCAAATTGGCAATGATATTTCTTCAACTGGTACTTTATTCTATCAAAATATCTTGTAAGAAACTAAACCTCAATGCAGGAGATCTGAGTTGGTCTAGTGGTCAGCTCTCAGTCTTGACCTACAAACAGACTCTGCTGGACCCAAGTTTGAAACTGAGATATTTCGTAGAGATGGTTGCAAAAAGGGACTATCCCAGAACATAAATAATCATACCCCCATCAAACCCAACTACACACACATGAACTTTGCATTACATATAGGTAATGTTTACAATCAATTCATCCTACAGGAAACACGTAAAAACAAGGGAAATTTATGTTGGCTGCTCGCAAGAAGGTCGTAAGAGCAATGTATTGTCAATGACAGTAACAGCCTTTATGCGGACAACTAAAAATAAGTACAGTCAAACCTGTCTATAGTGACTGCCCAAGGAAAACACAAAAGTTGTCTTTGTAGACAGGTTCCTTTAGTACATGTTCAAATGAGAAATCTATTCCAAGGGAAACAAAATATGTGCTCTTTGTAGACAGGTGGTCACTAAAGCAGGTTTGACTATAAAAAGTAAATCTGAGCATGGATTACATCATCTCACCATGGATCTGTGAGGTATTCTTTGAGTAGATGAAGGATAACTGAATTCCTGCAGCTGATGCGGTCGTTGTTATCACTGAATCTCTTAACAGCCGTAGAGTAGCTGGCACTTTGCTCTCCTCCTCCCCATTTCTTGAGAGCGATGACCGACAGATCAGGTGATCCGATCTCACCGAGGCATTGGCCTGTTACAAAATTTACAATGAATAATAATAATGATAGTCCGTTCTTGAACAGCGCATAATACTTAGTCTCTATGCGCTTCCAAAGAGCTTCGTAAATTATTACTGTACCACACCAGAGAATGTTTAGTCCTAGGATGACCAAAAACTTCTGGTTAATTATCAAAAGCATATTCTAGTAGGACTTCTCTTGCAATTCGTGATAAAAAAAAGGATAACACTGAGAAGACTCCTACATTTATTTGATTTGTACATGAACTCTAAAAATATATATGATTTCTATAGGTTAATTACTACTGGCACATGTGGATAACTGCATGTTTGCTTCTTAGTGAGTATCTACTGTACATGGTTTCAGCAAAATTGTTGTTTGTCTAAATTCCATTACGATGTGAGCAACAAATATGGGTAATACATTGTACTAAGGATATTTAAGTCCACATGCGAATTTCACCAGAAATCATAAACACCTAGAACCTGTTATATCTTGGACTGAATTTGCATAAATCGATTTTGATTGCAAAAAAAAAAATGCATCTTGAGTCTAGTAACATCATCCATACCTGCTGCTTTCTGCAATGCTGAAGCTTGTCCATCTTGGTTGCTATGGTTACTGCCGCAGAGTGACACCAGCTCGCAGATGAGTTGTGGAAGAACGCTATCTGATGCACTCTCTAAACAACAGACAGAGATGACTTTAATGAGTGAACTCTTTCAAGACAATTTTTTATGGTTTTTGTTCAGTAACTTGATTCAGAGCCTTAAAAATATACCAGATGCACAGATTGCATCCATTTATGTTGCATGACCATATTGCATTTGATGCTAAGAATTTTAAAAAGGAAAGTAAGATTTTATAATCCCTAAATTGACAACACATTGAGAGGTTCATATTTTACATTCTATAAAAAACAGTGTAGTAATACATCTTAAAATTTGTTGCAGTTTCGAAGAACACACTATCAATTTAGCCCTTAAGGTACTATGTCCCATTTGCAGGCCCAAAACATGAAAAGGCTGAATTCCAACTTCATTGGAAAGACAGTACTAATTTAGAACTTCCCTAAAAACAAGGGGGCTTGAAAATGTCTTTAAAAAGGAAATAACGACTTAACTATTAGTTGTCAAATCGACTTAAGGCCAGTAAGTAATAGTCTGATTTTTCAGCCCATTGTACCAAATGGGTTGTAGGTTTTATGCTGCGCAATGATTCAATCAGTTTAATTTTGAATATTACAAGAATTGGGTTATTGATGTACACTTTACAGCTCATTTTATGTATGTTATTACCAAAGATGAAAAAAGCCAGTCACTCAATAGTGTTTGACAGTGAAGTCTAGCAAGTAAACGGGTTTCCTTGCATTGTGTCTTTCAAAATCTGATTCTTAACACATAATGAGACAACAACAATTTAATATGACTGTGACTTTATTTATGACTGCAGATTTTATATTCTGTACTTTATTGGAATTTCTGGATTATGCTTTTATCGCAAGACTTTTTGCCTGTAGAGAAGGACATCACTCGGTGTTGAGCTAGATATCGATAACGTGATCGGTATTGTCCTTCTATGTCAGTGTTGAAGCTCGGTTCAGCAGCCTTTCTGTGCTCTTAACACCAACACCGAACACCGTATTTGAAATTACTCAGTCATAATATGCATTGTACTCCTGAACTATGTGCACTTGTTTGAAAATTGCCTCAAATCTAATTAACATAAATTGCTTTCAGGTCGAAAACGCTGCCCACTAGCATCACCCATTTATGCCAGCGAAAAAAGGCCGGCATAAATAAATAATAACAAGGCCAGTAATACAGCATAAGGTTAGCTAAGGTTATGGTATGTTGTATCAAGGAGTTACCTTGGTTGTATGTTGTATAGTGTTGTGTATGTTGTATATAGTGTTGTGAATGTCTTTTGTTATGTACATGTGATGACATTCATCACTTGTACACATTTTGATTAAATGTATCACTGTACACTGGCCTTGCTCGCTCACTGCCTCTGTTCTATCAGTGAGCAAGCCCTCATTTATATACCCTACCAGAAAACATGTACAATTTTGGACAGTTAGTAAATCGAACTTCCAAAACCACCACCCAAACATGAATTTGATGGAGTTCATTGAATAAACATTTATTGTATGAATATATGAATGCTACGCAACAGTCTAACCACCCCCTAAACCTAAGACAATAGGCCATTTTTGTAATGTAACCAAATTTAATGTATAAGTTTTTGTAAAGTGCCTCAATACAAGTTATTTCATTCACCTGATAAAATAGTATTTCAATAGTCAGAATGCAAACTGCATATATTAAGTGCTGTTAGGTAGGTCAAGCCATAATGTTTGTCAAAAACTAATGTATGCAGTTCGGATTCCGTCTATTGAAATACTATTTTTCTTTTCAGGTGAATGAAATAATATGTATTGAGGCACTACACAAAGACTTATGCATTAAATTTGGTTACATTACGAAAATGGTCTATTTCTTTAGCATGCATTTATAATCAAGCAGTACACACCTGTCTTCAAATACGGTAGACTAGTTCACAAAAGATATTCAAATTGTAAGCATGCCTCTACCAACAATGGTTGCTACTAGCAGCAACCACCCTAAAGCTTCCCCTAACAAAGCAACAACTAATGTATGCAACCTGCATTCAGGCTATGACTTGAAGTAACAGGTGAATGTTATTCAAGTTATTCATTTGGGTCTGTCTATTTATGGAACTTCTTTATTTTTGAGTGAGTACTGATTCATAGCCTCCCTCCAGGACTTTGTCTTGCAATAGTGATGCAAACTTCAGTTGTTGCTAGGTCAAACAATAGACAGGTTTACTAACACATTCTAACTTGATGCATACTTTTTAAACAAAGGTTGTTCTTGACAACCCCAAAACTTGCCTGAGGCTTGCCCAATATATCAACACATGATATATGTAGACTGGATTCCAAGTATAGTAGTTCATTCATTAATAACAGGTTACTGGAATAATTCGTCGCTAGGTCCCCAGGATATAAACATCCATAAATTTGAATATGTTGGTTAACCGGTCTATTGGGTTCAATATTATCAAGGTAGAAAGGTATACATATAATTTGAATACATTGTACAGAAAGCCAACTGTAGTGTTCACACACAACTGATCATTGTTTGGTTTCATGTTTAAAATATTTTCTGGTAATCTGTCCATCAGTTCTAATGATAATGTGATCACGAGCTATATTTGCATACATAATGAGCCCTGTGACCTTTGACCTTGTGACCCCAAAATCTAATCGGTTCATTGGCTCTGCAAAAAACATACGTGACCTAAGTTTGGTAGGAATCCATCGATCAGTTCTTGAGATAAAGCGATCACGAGCCGTTTTTGCATACATACTGAGCCCTGTGACCTCGTGACCCCAAAATCTAATCAGTTCATTAGCTCTGCAAGATTCATACATGACTAAAGTTTGGCAGGAATCCATCAATCTGTTCTTGAGATAACGTGCTCACGAGAACGGGACGTACAGATACGGATGGACCTACAGCCGGACAACCTGAAAACTGGTCCTACACATAGTCATACATTTGTGTTAAAAGATACAGACGTATGAACAGCACTACACTTATTTTCCCCCAGCAATTTACAGTTTAGAAGCTTCAAAATATCAAATCTGAAAGTGCAAACGTTGAGAATAACTAACCTGCACACATGGAGACCAGCATAGCAAGCTCAGCTTTTCTTGAAGCAAGCTCATGATGCAAGCTGTTTAGTCCCTCCAAGGTGTGATTCTTACAATGCTGACCACCCCTCATTAGAAAATGGTTGATCTCCTGTCAAGAGATTCAATATAATCGATGTAAGTGGACTTTTAAATTAACCTACAGATAAACCCTTTCATGAAGGAGCCCTATGTGTTCTAAACAATTTGAAGCCTGAAATTAAGCATGGAACGCCTAAGAGCTGGCATCCTGAAACACACTAGTCTGAGAAGAGCTTGGCTTCATTGACGGCTATCTTTTGGACAACCACCTTAAAATTGCTTCTAAGACAATAAAAACACATCAATCATCATTCTATCTTATGTATAAAGCAGGGAACCATCAAATAGGTGTAAAGCCCTACTTTCTTATCTAATGAGAAAATTTTCTGTAATGATAACTAATAATGTTTTAAACAGTTTTCTACATCTATTGAGTTTATCTTCTTTATTGTATATATTTTAAGTTTTTAGTGAATCTGATACTTACAGCCAACAAGTTGGCATCTTCCTGTTTGTTCTTGATCTTTTCCAGGACTCTCCTAGCTTTCTTCAGTTCAGCCTTGTCAGGGAGAGGGTTGGTGTCCAGGAGTGCTGCCTGCAGCTTCCCATGGTTCTCAACGACCAGGAACTCTACCAGTGACAGTGCCTGCTTGCTGACATCATCATGACTACTGCCGACCAATGGGACTACTGCTCCTAGGATCACCTCTATGTGTTTGCTGAACTCCTAGCGATAAGACAAAGTGATAGGATAGTTACAGAATTATAAAACTGCTTTGTGACATTATCCTCAGGGCTATCTCTATCCACTAAAAATACTGTTCTTAGGATGAACTATGCATGCTCGCTGAACTCCTAGGGACAGGACAAGAGTGTTACAGATTTATTGAATTGCTTGATGATATCATCATAACCGTGATTCACACCAACCAACAATAGTACTGCTCCTAGGCTCACCTCAACATGGTTACTGAACTCCTACAGAAAAAGAGCAACAAGCATTGTTTCAAAGACAATCATACAGTCATGTATTTCTTTTTGAGATATAAAAGTTTTGGTATCTGACCCGTTCCAGTAGTTTAGGTATGCATTGAAAAAGTAAAATTTGTCTGTACTTGACAAGATTTCATATCTCCCTTGTTGTGTAATGGAATTTCAACTGAAAAGAAATAATGACCAATTGCAACTTCACTTTTATACCCTTCTGTGCTACTAAGAGTAAGTTCATGACCAATTGTCACAAATCAACATTTGGGTGTGATTCACTGTGCATGGCATGGGCAAGTGATATTACCTGAAGCCTTATATTAAGTAAAATATTCAACAAAGGACTACACTTAACTTAGTGAGTCCTAACATGGTGAAATTGATGAACACTTTTACCTCTGAGCACTGCACCACCGCTGCCTCACTGATATGTCTCAACAGATCCAGGCAAGGAAGCACCAAGGATGATGATCCCTCCATCACCGATGACCTGCCCTCCCCCGCCCGATGCTGATGGATGGTATGGACCAGCGTGTAGATCAAGTCCTGCAGGACGTACACCCAGGATCCGCCTAGCTTGGTGTGGAGCTCCTTGATCAGGAGAAGACCAAACAAGCGATACCCCAGCAGGAGACGTCGTCTCTCGTAGGGCTGCCGACATCGCCACATCCGCAGGTGTAGCTCTAGGAGAACTTTCTGGATACTGTCCTGAAAACAGAGAAAAGTGATTGCAGATTGCACGTATTAGAGTAAAATTATATTAATTAATTATATCAGGACAGAAATATGCTATCTAATACTTCCTATACATACAAATCACCAAATGTACACCTGTTCATCTTCACTTATAGAACTGATTTTATGGAGGTGTGTACAAGTAGCTTTGTATTATTTGTTTTATTATCATCAATAATGGCTATTTGTTATTATACTTTAGCAATATCAACCTGCTTGCTCAGCCGTCATACATGTCACTGTAGGAGATAGCGTTAAAAAAGTAAATTGGGGGAATTTCTTGCAGTCCAGGGACCCATTTCACAAAGCCTTTTTTCAATGACAAATGACAAAAATCAGTGACAAATCTGTTGATAACTAATCAGAAGCAAGGATTTCATTAGCTTATTAAAAAAAATGTCATTTGTCACTGATGACAAGTTTTGTGCCATGGGTCCCAGGTCCACTTAAGACAAACATGTAAAAGTGGTGAAAAATAACAGTATTGCAGGTAGGGTAAAAACTCAAACTACTAATTATCATAGTAACTTATCCACAGACAACAACACATCTACATGTACAAGTAAAGTGTGTTGCTTTTGAAAATCCATATTGCTTACATGTGTCTTTGCCAGGAGTGAGATGAGGGTCAGAGACCTACCGCCGGCATGGCAGGTCGTCAGATGATCCAAGGTGGCCTTGATCATGTACGATGTGAAGAAGGGTGGGTCAGGCTCAGGGTCACTGGGGGTCATGAACCTTGAACTCTGGCTAGTCTCTGTCCAAGGCTCATACAGCATGGTGAGGAGCTCCACCACTATCAAGTCCAAATGGGACTGGATCCAGGCATTGAGGGTCTGAAATAATAACGAGTAAGAAAAAATGAGCACAACTTCCTTGATATAAATACAATAACGTCTACCTACTGCACATAACAATTCAAGGCACTTCAGATATCTGACAGACCTGATTGTACAAAACTTAAATGGACTGACAGATATTGCAGCTTTACATGTATATATGTAAATTAGGAAGGGCAAATTGTTGCTGTTATTCTCTTGCAAAAATGAAATAAAGGAAAATGTTAAACTTTTTTTCCACCATAATGTATTCTACACAGTCTGTGAAGATGATATCCAGAACAAAACTATGAAGTTCGATATTCTTCTTTTTGTTCTAGCAATCAATTGCAATCAATTGCAATGCTCTTCCCTTTTCTCCATCACTCTCAATTCTCACAGCAATCAAGATAAAGCTTTCAGAGGGAGCGTGTGCCGTTGATGTACTCACCTCCTGTCCTATAGCCTGCTTTAGTTCCTCCAAGCACTGCACTGCCCAGGCTGCTCTCTCCTTCTCCTCTTCCGCCCTCTCGCTATTCTCCCTGGACTGTGCCAGGAGCGGCAGAAGACTGGCGATGGTCCGAGGAAAGGAGGACTTGAGGAGATCCTTCCAGTCTTGCTTCAGCTCTCCTGCGATGGACTTGACCATGTCCAGCTTCTTCATGTTGACCAGGTGAGGTATGATGGCCGTATGGTGCTTGCTGCAGGAGACACAACAAGGATGGGTTTTATGAATGTCATTGGAAGCCAGTAAAGAATCTTTACCTGCTGTTACCAATAGCAGTAGTAGTAGTAGTAGTAGTAGTAGTTGACTTTATGGGATAACTTGTTTAACCTTATCCACAAGGTCCATCTGGGTATACTGGTATACTGGGATGTGCAGGTGGACTACTACTCTTATACGAATAGTGCAGTGGGTTCCTAGCGTGCAGAGGTGGTGACTCTTCTCTACACATGGCCTCCATTTAACGTCCTATCCGAGGGACGGAGTGTTTTCCTCTTAACATAGCCTGCGTTTATGAAACAAGAGGGCCCATAGAGATGTGTAGGAAAAACAGGTCTAACAGAAATGGGTTCAAGTATGTTTGATGCAAACATATTGATGAGATAATATCTAATCAGGAACTACAGTTTCCATGTCAAGCTTTCTACAAGCTACTAAACAAAGCAATACAGGGCCATCCCCCTAATCATCACCATAAAAACTATCATTGTCATTTCCAATTTCATATCAATTTTTCCTTCAAAACTTTAGACTTAAGACAATGTATTTCCTTGAAGACCTTATACCACATCATACACTCCACACTCTAGCATCCATTAACACACATATTGGCAGTCTCATATATATAAAGCTGTTCTGTATGATAAATGCATGTTATACCTCAAGAACTCCTGCAAAGATGAGCAGCCAAGAACACCGTAGGGGAATTCCCTAATTTCATAGCTCTCCTGCAGCCATTGATACACTAGGAAACCGAGGTGTAATATGGCTAGCTCTGATCCACTGCTACAGTGAGACATACCCTCAGCTATACAGCTCAACACCTGTAACAAAGATTGAAAAAATGCACAATTCATTGACTTATATCTATAAAGTATCAGAATAAGTTTCATTTAACAATTGTTGAACATTAAAGGGCAATCATGCCAATTTCTTTGATGTGATTTTGGTGATGACATAATTTTCATGTTGGAGCTTTCCACTTGCATATAGTTTGCATGTTAAAATTAATCATATAATGGGAAATACCCAACCCTTAATAAAGTCATTTTCAGTCAATGAAAGCTCAACACTAATCTTTAGACTACAGCATGATATCAAGAGATACATGTACTGGATAATTTCCACACAACAAGGTAACCCATTGACTGCTGAATTCTCTTATTCCCATAGGCTTAATACATGGATCACCTGACTCTTGAAGGCAATGGATTAAACTGCCTCTATTAATCTCCCATGACATTACTGATACAATGTAACCATACCTTTTTCATCACCGATGATGGGATCCTGTTGATCTTCGTCGTGAGGAGCAAGGCAAAGATGGTCTTCTTTTCACAGACGTGACTGCTGAGGGCGACATTTGCTAACGTAAGTAGAAGACTGGCTGTCCTATTCTTGTTTTCCTCCTTTGACTCTGCTTCTCCAAAGTCATCCTGATACATTGAAACGGTAATATCTAAACCTTGTAACATTCCTTAGAGCACATTTGATTGCACCAACATATAGGAATATGTTTTAAAACCTTTCACCTATGAATTAAGGGTACATGTATGCAAATGCAAAAGTTTTAGCGCTTCAACTTGAACTGCTAGTCTTACTGCAATAGAACCATGTGTATTCGAGAAAAAAAATAACTCTATCATGAAATTATCTGAAGTCCATGGATAAATGTAGACAAACTCTTGTCTGCCGAAATACCTAAATATTTAATAATGTTTGAAGCATTCAGGTTGTAGACTAAACTATGTTTAGGCATCAACAATACGGTCTGTACTTAAAACAAGCATGTACATTTCACATCGTTTACCTACAAAACTCAGAAGTGGAGCAATGCAGAGTCAAATCTGGAAAACAGAAGTACATCTGGATAGAGAGACGTAAACTTACTGATATTTGCATAGCCTCCTCTACAGACTGATAAACCAGATTGAAAGCTTGGTTCTGTGTTTCTGTCTTGTAAGGTTGGGTACCTGGCGTATTGAACAGGCTGGCAAAAAGAAATGGAGTAGGTAATTAATATTACATGTACAGGTATCATATTTGCTGACTCATCTACTTGTTTATGGTCATCATCTATTTCGGACAACTATTTATTCAGACAACTATCTCACAATTTAATGAGCTATATTCATGCCAAGGGTCTCTTTACCTTCTCAGTATCTTTCCAGAGTAAGAACTCAAATTCATTCGCAACTCAAGTAAAGACAATTAATTACCTTAAGGCTAAAAAATAACAGGGGTCAAGTACACATTAAACAGCAGAATCATGAATGACCAAAAATAAAAATGGGAGTCTGATGCACACACATCAACAAATGTGCTTTCTCACGGATAAACTTTAAGGGAGTAAAACTTCAAGTTACTGCATGAGGGTTCTACCTTGTAATTTTACTCCAAACTAACGGCTCAATATTTTTTTTTATCAAATAAATTAACCTTCTACAATAACGGTCCAACGTTAATTCTTTAAAAAATATCATACATGTACATGTATCATCTACAAATGAAAGGTATAGAAGATAAATCTCACCACCCCACTGCTGTGGCCATGTGCATCCTCACTTCATGGGTGTTATCCTGAAGGAGATGTGGGAACAAGGTCGCAACCTCTGACCCCTCATTGGAGTCCCCATGACCTTTCTCACGACCTTTGGCTTTGATGAAAGTCCATTGGCTGTTTGGGTCAATTTTTATGAGCGCTTGTATGCACAGCGCCATCTGGTGTTTGACTGGAGTGGAGTAGGTTGCCTGCAGCTGCCTGCATGATGCAGAAAACCATGTCACTTGATATGCACAAAATGTCAAAAATGTTGTCCCAATTTGACATATTCAAGTAAGATAATCTAGGAGCTTCTGCCATTTGGTATTTTAGGTGTTCATGTCCAATGTACATGTACATATATCTTGACAGAGAAGTACATGTACATCTATATGTTGTGTGACTGACATAGCATTCATTTCATATTTATATTCAGAATTTTCAAACATTCATTTCAATGCTATAAAAAGGTATCATGTGCGGAAAATATTCATTCTTTGAAATTCAAGTTATGAGGTTGTTGGTTGGAATTTTAGTGAATTATTGATGAACTAGATGGACCTTCGACCGCGCACAGTCGACAATGATGCCTCCGCCATGGAGCAATTTTACAAACCAAAACAGAAGCGAGCTATTTTTGCACACATAATGAGCCGTGACCTTTGACGTTTGACCTCGTTACCCCAAAATCTAATCAGTTCATTGGCTCTGCAAAATAAATACATGACCCAAGTTTGGCGGGAATCCATCGATGGGTTCTTGAGATAAAGCGATCACTAACTATTTTTGAATACATAATAAGCCCTGTGACCTTTGACTTTGAATCTCATGACCCTAAAATATATTCAGTTCATTAGCTCTGCAAGATACATACATGACCTAAGTTTGGCGGGAATCCATCAATGGGTTCTTGAGATAACGCAATCACAAGAATGGGGCGTACGTCGTATGTACAGACGTACGGACGGACGGACAACCCGAAAACATAATGCCTCCGGCTACCATGCAGCGGAGGCATAAAAAATTATTCTTCACCTTAATGCATGTGTAGTATATTGATAGTCAGAGTAGTACATAGAAATTCCTTGAAAGCTTTGATCATACTTATGGCTGTAATAAAAGGATAATAATAATAAGGTGCATATTATAAAAAACCACCACATAAATCAATTTAGAATCTAACCAGTTCAATAACAGAAAATATATTATTCTTTGTTATCATCAAAGAAAGAATATTATTCTTTTTATCAGGAAAAGTTCAAGCATGGAATGTTGCTTACCAGAAGGCAGCTAGTAGGAGCAGAGCAACATCCCTGCATACTTTGATATCAGATGATACCATCCCATCATCACTTCCACTCATTGCTAGGTGAGGAGTGATGGCCCTCAGGAATGCCATTGCTTCTGCGCACACTTCCTGCACCTTACGGTTCACTGATACCAGCTCTCTGCAATAAAAGATAATACAATGACTAGTTAACATATGGGCTAGTCCAAAGTATATGGTCATCTCATATTCCATAGATTAGCAAGTATTGTAGAAACATGAACATACATGTAGCTAACATCAAAAGTATCATTTTACTTCTTATTTGGTATAATCCAAACTCTGGTAGGCCTATCAACCTAATACAATAATCAGGAATGCGAAAGTCAAAATTATTTATATCTTGGATTCATCCAGATCTTACTTATTGAAGGATCTTCCATTTCCGCTTAATAACGTGTCTGTACGGGTTTAGGCTAAAGATTTCGCACTTCTTCTCTGATACCGGTATACAAATTAATGTATCAATGCTTTAAACACGTCACAAATATTTCCTCTTTTATTCATATCTTTCAAAAATCATTACGAAATTAACACATTTCTCCAAATAACAGATAAAGGACTGACCTCCATACCAGCAGAATACCATGGAGTTCATCATCATGAATATGGCTAGTCTCTTCTCTTAGACTGGATACCACAGCAAAGAACTAAGATGGAAATGAAAATGGATTGAAAGATAAGAGCAGATGCATGGAAGTATTAAATGGATTCCATTTGTAGTTCATGGTCTTTTTAACAAAAGAAAACTGACGTCCACTGGCATAATACCCAGTAGGGCCATGATTTGTATACATCCAGATCCAAATCCAGATTTCAATTAACAGATTCAATATAATTTAAACATATTTGTGGCTTACACCCAGTAAATAAGATCGATTGATCGATCTGTATTGAAAAATAAGTCAGAAAAAATATTGGAACCAGCGTGACTTGAACCTGCATCTATTGCTTTTTTTTCCATTACGGATCGATCAATCGATCTTATTTACTGGGTGTAAGCCACAAATATGTCTAAATAATTGAAATTTCTCCCAGGAAGCATTACATATATAAAAGATTCAATATAATATGCAAGTACACTAACAAAATCTATATAAAAGACCATCACGATCTAGAAGTAACATGACAAGTCGAACACATGTGTTGAGAAAGAAGTACAAGGGAGATCAGATATTGCCCTAAAACCAGAAACTCCCTGTACTGCTGCTTTCAAGAAGTATTTGAAAACACATCTTTCTAATTTCTCACAACCCATTACCTCCTTGGGCCGTTGGTCTATGTATTAAAGATAAAGGTGAGTTCTGGTCATCCGATTGCATTGTGAAAGAAAAGGTGTGGAATGGATCAGAAAAAGTTGATCATGTAGCATGTAAGTATTGGTGTGTACTGCAAAGTTCTGGAACCATCAAAATCATAATAAATTTGGCCCAGTCTTGGTAGAGCAACAAGCACTGTACACAGAAAGATGTATATGGGACTACACAAATGGTGTCGGGGCTACTAACCTTGATTTCCTAATCTTTCTATGCTCATTTCTCAGCCAGTATACATTTTCTACCAAAATTGTTTGGCAAATGACATTTATTTGTAATCTTGAACATTCAGTTTAAGTTTATTTGATTCTGTGAGAACTCATTTTCTTTTTTTCCCAGAACTCACCTTTATCTTTAAAGGGATCGTTTAACAATGTTAAATGTGAGATACACGGCCCTACGTGTTATCAGTGTCTGTGATATGGTGTAATATTGAAGCCCTAAAAAAATTGCGCTTCAAAATGATCAAGAAGTGCCTCAAAAAAGTAAAAATCTTTGAGTGACCGGTTTTACCATACTCGTTTTCCCCAATAGACTGTAGTGTTATGAAAACCGTCAGGCGAACGGTTTTCAAAATTTGTAATTTCAATCATAAATATCTTGATAATCAGACAGGCGATCGGCTTGTAAAAGTCATGGGGTTCCTGACTGATTTAAAGGTTTATAATTATCATTGCATCATGAGCTAAATCCTGAATTTTGTTTCAGAATCTGATACAAAGTTACCGGATCCCTTTAAGCCTATGGGACTGAGAGAATTGTAGTAGTTAACAGATTAATATTCCTCTTTGTTTGTAATTAATGTATTAATGTGAGCCTTGTTTGATAATGTTCTTTTTCTTTGGTTGTAAGTATTTTCTATTTCATGGGCTCTGTATCTTATGAAAAGGCGCTTTATAAATGAAGTGTTCTTATAAATATATAGAAAAGGGGAGAAATAAAAGAGAGAGTGGTCTCTACACACACACCACCAGACAATAAACTGTATATTTTACCATAAATATAAACTCACCAACTGGACTTCATAGGAATTTGTCAAATCCTGATCCTGTAAAAAATACAGGAAACAAAGTCATACATCACAATAACATCTGGGCATGATTTATCATACTTGGCATGAAAAAAGATAATCCTCTTTCTACAAATATGTATCTGCTGCAATTTCAAAATAATACCTAATAGGACAAGTTGTTCTTGTTTATTTTAGAGAAGAGAAGGAAACTTCAACTGAATAAGGTACAAGTGTTCAGAATCACTGTTTATTTATATCCAGAAAGAGCAAATTATTAAAAAAGTTTGAACAAGATGAAAAAGATCAAAACATGTAGTTTGGGCTTCTACTAACTTAACAATTTTAAAAGTAGGCGAGCTGTCATCCACTCGTGTTGATTTTCTCAAGCCCCAACCAATAAACGTTTCTGCATCATGATTAATTATATCATAATCACTCCAAAAACAACAACAAACCCTTACCTCTCCATCATCAAACATCTTGAGCAACCTCTGTGTGACAGCAGTCCTATTGTCTCTGGCCTCACTGGTCACCTGATCACTGAAGTCACATGACCAGCACCATGATGACAAGACCTTAGCACTGGAGATAGCTAGCTGTTCTTCATGTGGAAGAGATTCAATGGAAAGCATGCTATGCGTACCTGCAAGGTATGGAAAAAGGAAAATCATTTTGTTTTTCAATTAGTTGCTTATTTATGTATGAATCTATATTGGAAATACAAAAATTAAGTAAGAAAATAAAACTTTGTGCAAAAAAATACTGAAAGATCAGGCCAAGAAGAAAATTACCCATATGTTGAATGATAAAACGGTTGATTTTTTTCAAAATATTTTACGTTATTATCTTGACTTTAAGATAAAAAGGGGCCCTTTCATTGTGTGTATGTTTAGGTGCTTCTTTCAAATACACAAACACAGACATTTCCAATAACTGTAAATGCATGTTAGCCCCATGGATACATTTTGATTTCGACCCCAGCTCAAGTTATTTGGGTTATTCAATTAACTTGAGTTATTCTATTGGTTAAGAATACACAGAACCATAACTTAATTGAATTCATCTCATCAAACAAGAAAACAAGTGAATTTCTCCAGAAAAAACTTTAATACCTTTTTTCTATGATTCATTGATCAGGGACCCGTTTCACAAAGCCTTTTTTTAATGACAAATGACTAAAATCAGTGACAAATCTGCAGATAACCAATCAGAAGCAAGGATTTCTGTAGCTTATAACAAAAACTGTCATTTGTCATTGATGACAAGTTTTGTGAAACGCCCCCCAGACCTATAGAATCTTCTTACCTGTCATGGAATCTTCTCTGGACTTGTGTCTCTTCTTCTCGGAGGTGCCGGTGGTCGCTTGAGCCGAGATGGTGGTGACCTCACCAAAATCATCATCCAGGTCACCCTGGGCCTGCTGCGTGCTCGGAAACTCGTCATCGGATCCAAGCTCCATGGAATCCCCAAAGGGGTCATGATGATTGGTGACCTTTGACCCCTGCTTCTGACACGACCCCTACAACAACAAGAAAATAAAAGACATATGATTAACTCAGACTCATAATCAGAAACGATGTGGAAATGAATAAAACCTAGTTAGAGGTATAGGTAAGCGTGTTGATGTTCTCAAGAGAGTCTGTGGGTTCTGTACATTTTCTGCCTGTCTTGTGAACTGTGACATTTTTCAAGAGAAATGAAATTCCACCTACTTGGTTGACTTCAGGGCTGCCATAATTCACTCTTGCTAAGTTCCCTTTAGCATTTGTATGTCATACATGTACATGTAGGTTCAAAGAACCTTCTCTTTGCAGTGAACAGATAGACTGGAAATTGTAATCCATATCGATATTACTCAACAGTGAATTATCAATCATCATCATTACTTATATTCATAATTTTGAAGAAAAGCATTCACCCTTTTATGTAGCACGTCCAGCAAAGCGTCTAGCAGCTCAGCAGGTGTGCATGATCTCACAAGGCTTGCCACCATTTGTCCTGCCTCCCCCTGCTGTCCAGGCTGGCATGCATACAGGGGTAACAGCACAGAGCAGAGTGACTTGAGGGAGTGCGCTCGGCTGATGGAACTGTCTGGTGTAAGGTCTGACTGGATCTCAAGCACCTTGAAGCCCAATGCAAATCTCTTCAGGAGAACCTGGGATTAATTGTTTTAAAATACTGTACAAGTAATCTGTTTGCAACATGAGTGTGTTACTATAATGTGCTAGCAAGGGTTCTACACACTGTAGGGACACCAGTGTTGTCCCGTTACCACATTAACATTATCCTCAATATCTACTGGATTTCTCTAGTGCACTCACAAACTCATTGGTTTGTTTATTTTTTCACCCATCCATTCATCCATCCATTCGTTCATCCATCCATTCATTCATTCATTCATTCTTTCATTCAATCAATCATTCATTTATCTTGGATGTCATGGAGTGGATTCCCCCCCCCCCCCCCACTTCCCCGACACATTATAAGGATTAAATCTATTCCCTTTGTTAGAATTCTTTTTAACATCATCAAGTCCTTTGCAATCCTATCCTTCTCTTACATCCATCTACATCCCTCTTGAAATCATAACCTTCACAGCAGCAATCCATTCTTAACATCTTCCGCATTTCTCTTCCCTCTCTAGTGCAATAGCCCAAACATCCTACACCCGTTTATGCTATGTTTTTATTAAGAAGCATTGACATAACTAGGTTACATTATCAAACTGAAATGTAGTGAACCTGTCTATAAAGGTCACCAACGGCCAGGATATACAGGAAAACTGGCCACTGTAGACAGGTGGCCTTTCTAGGCAGGTTCTACAACACACATTTCTTTCTAGAGGGTGACAATATATAAAAGACCACTATAGACAAGTGGCCTTTCTTTACAGGTTCTTCAAAACTGAATTGTGATTAGAGGGTAACAATATAAAAGACCACTATAAACAAGTGGCCTTTCTAGACAGGACCTACAACACAAAATTCTTTCTAGAGGGTAACAATATAAAAGGCCACTATAGACAAGTGGCCTTTCTAGACAGGACCTACAACACGAAATTCTTTCTAGAGGGTGACAATATAAAAGGCCACTATAGACAAGTGGCCTTTCTAGACAGGACCTACAACACAAAATTCTTTCTAGAGGGTGACAATATAAAAGACCACCATAGACAAGTGGCCTTTCTAGACAGGACCTACAACACAAAATTCTTTCTAGAGGGTAACAATGTAAAAGGCCACTATAGACAAGTGGCCTTTCTAGACAGGACCTACAACACGAAATTCTTTCTAGAGGGTGACAATATAAAAGGCCACTATAGACAAGTGGCCTTTCTAGACAGGACCTACAACACAAAATTCTTTCTAGAGGGTGACAATATAAAAGACCACCATAGACAAGTGGCCTTTCTAGACAGGACCTACAACACAAAATTCTTTCTAGAGGGTGACAATATAAAAGACCACCATAGACAAGTGGCCTTTCTAGACAGGACCTACAACACAAAATTCTTTCTAGAGGGTGACAATATAAAAGACCACCATAGACAAGTGGCCTTTCTAGACAGGACCTACAACACAAAATTCTTTCTAGAGGGTAACAATGTAAAAGGCCACTATAGACAAGTGGCCTTTCTAGACAGGACCTACAACACGAAATTCTTTCTAGAGGGTGACAATATAAAAGGCCACTATAGACAAGTGGCCTTTCTAGACAGGACCTACAACACAAAATTCTTTCTAGAGGGTGACAATATAAAAGACCACCATAGACAAGTGGCCTTTCTAGACAGGACCTACAACACACATTTCTTTCTATAGGGTGACAATATAAAAGACCACTATAGACAGGTGGCCTTAATAGAGAAGAGGCTGATAAGACAGGTTTGACTGTACCGTTATGTGTTTCTTGAGTGGTACTTTCATTGCCTCTCTCGCTGTCTTCTCGCTGTATCTGATAGTTCTTTCCAAGACTCTACACAACATACAAGCTAGCTGACCTGACATCTCATAGTGATCCACCTAAAACAGATAATACAATAAATCAGCATTAGGAGACTGGAGTGGATGTTCTTGCAGCAACTAAATTCTGTGAGCTTTTTTCCATTAGTAAAACAAGAGTTTATTAATTCAAAATATTAATGAAATATGTGATGTCTCTAGGTAATGCTCATTCTAAAGAGGAATACCAGAGTGGTACAAATTCACAACGTATCCTCACTTTGTCTGCATCCACGAAGGAAATAAAATTAATGATTTGAACTGTCCTTTCTTTGTACCTACCTCCTTGCACTGGGAGTCGGTCACAAGTTTGACCACGTGTCCCAACCTCTCCGAGACACTCTGGACGACCATCATGATCACTGCACCCTCCGTAGAGAACGCTCTTGCTGTGTCATGCTCTACGGCATTCACTTGCGAGTCCTTGGTTAGTGGAATGTGAAAGGAAGCTCTGAGGTATAATTCCTCTATGAAGCTCAGACGAGAGGAGCCATTCTCTGGGTTTGGTCGAGCAGCGAACGCAATGCCAAGCTGCTGCCCTCTGCAGTTTTTTGTGAACAAGGTTGTCAGGAGACTGGCCAGCAGGTCCCTTGGAACACTGGATGAGAGAATAGTAGTGATAACTTTACATGTTAAAGCAAAATTATTGTTTTAAAGGTAAAGACCAGTATTGGAAACGCCCCAATTTCAAAAAATGAAATTGAAGCTCTCATTACCAATCATGTGAAAGAATATGTTTTGACTAATACATGATGATAAAACTTTGCCGGGAAACCGCCTACTAATTCATATATTTGGTAAATTTGTTTCTCTCATGGTCTGTGAGAGATATAGGGTAGTCCCATATACATCTTTCTGTGTATAGTGCTTGTAACTTTACGAAGAATGGGCCAAATTTCTTATCATTTTGATGATTCCAGAACCTTGCAGATGCTAGATGCTAGATGATCAGCCTTTTCTGATCGATTCCACAACGTTTCTTTCACAATGCAATCGCATGACCATAACTGGTCTTTACCTTTAAAGCAAGTACCATATCAAAATGCAATGGGAAACATGAAAATAATAAAACAAAAGCACACAAAAGAAAACAACTGACATTTGGTGATTATGACAGCAATTGTATCAATCTGTATAAAATTTCAAAAACTGTAGTTTGTTAAAGCCCATCTGTACAAGTTTGGCCAGGAGGGATTAGACCACACAGCATGGTCACTGACAGGTGGCTATCTCATCAACTCAGCTCTCAGTTAACATAAGAAAAAGAGGATCATAGGCATTGTTTTCTATATAGAGGGAGCAAGTAGCTACAAGTAGGACAGTGGGGCTTTAAGTTTAAGGTCAACGTGTGGAGAAGAAGAAAAAAATCTATTACAAGTATTTCAGTCAATGACAAAGTTACAATCATGAATCGGGTCAATTTCAATTTCAAGTGCAATTGATTTGAACCAGTATCGTAACACCTTTGTAGATGACGCACTTGCTGCCATTATGGACCAAGGAAATGGACCAAATTAAGATCTTTCAATACAAAAATGGTAAACTCTTCAAGCTGTCCTGACAGGTAATTCCAATCATGCACGGAAGACTTTCACATGACAACAGCATATCAAAATATTAAGTACATTTACTGATATCATCATCATCATTACCTTTTCAATATAAGAGGTGTGACTGCTAGTCTTTCTCCAGCATCTTCTACTTCTTCTGCAGGCAAGATCCAGTTGAGTAGCTGGTGTCTGAGTGGATACTGGCCCCTCTGAACACCTGTCAAAGAGGCTAGCAAGCCCACTTGGCAGACATGGTTCTCAGGAATGGGGTGAGAGGTCAACAGGGTCAACAGGAAGGTCACAGAACACCTACAAGAAATGGGATAGACATACAGGAAAGTAGATTTTTCAAAAAATAACGTCAGTAATCAGAGGGGAAATGTGTTTTCAGAGTTCTAAGCCACCTAATTTCTTGACAAAAGAAGAAAAATGAATCTTTAAAGAAGCGGTTTGGACTAGCAAAGTGTATAAAAGTAGGAATGTTTAACTGAAAACCACATATTCTAAAAAAGCATGAATAAATATAAGTACATACCTATATTGAACAATTTATTGACTTGAATAATGGTATTTAACAACAATTTACAAAAACCAACCAAGAGTAGCATTACATGATATCTAAGTAGGTTCTGTTGGAGCAAACTACAGGCATAGTTATCATATATCTTCTAAATGGTTAGAATCTGAAGTACCCGAACAAAAGTGATGGCAAAATACCTCACCTTGAAGGCTGTGTAACATCTGGCAAAAAGAGCTTCCAGACTTCCTTATCAGGCTTCACAATCCCATGATGCACTAAAGAGGTCAAGAGGTCAAATCCCTCATCCTCAGCAGAATGAAGGCAGATTGTTCTATTGAACATCAAAAGAAAAATGTTTGCATCAAATGGAATGCCTCATTAGTACCCAGATAACATGGATGAGTCCAACACTATACTAACAATAGACTGAACGAATCAACAACAAACAAAAAATGGCCTAGATGCACTATAAACGTCCTTTGGCAAGACGTTAATCTACATTTGCCACTCTCCACTCAGGTGTTAAATGGGTACCTGATATGATGCGAGCGTTAATTTAGTTTGCACAGCATTAAGAGCATCTGTAAAATGGCACCTGACTGGAATGCTCCCAGGGAGTAGAGAGTGGCATACATTGTGTGCAGGCAGACCTGAATCTGATGACTGAGGTAATAATTTATCTGTAAAGCGCTTAGAGACATCGTCAAAGAATTAAGCGTTATATACACACGGAATACTGTTATTATTATTATTATTATTATTATTATTATTATCTAGAAAACTTTGCTTGATCAATATACAGTGAGATTAATCCATGACTAATTTACATTCAACCAACTCCATACATCTGCTACAAACCTGATAGTTGCACTCCATACTTTACTCCATTCTCTGCTGAGCTGGTCTTTGGTATGCTGTGAGAACTTTTGTCTTGATTCCTGGCTAGCTGCTATACACTGAAGACATCTCAACACATGGCTCTGTAACTGGGACCTATCAGAAAGATAATAGAAAGCAAGTAGGGATGGTACTTCTTAAAGTTATTAGCCAACATGTAGATTGCATACAGGTAAGGAAGAGAAACATGGTTTGCACCATAAATCTGACAAAGGTAGTAACATATATGTAACTAATCTTCCAACCATTCTTCTCAAATTTTAACCCATGGACTGACTACCAAATTCTCTCATTATCATAGACTTAAGGGGAGTGGGTACCTTTGTCTCAGATTCTAAACAAAATCCTGGATTTAGCTCATGCTGCAATCATAATTATAAACCTTTAGGTCAGTCAGGAATCCCATGAAGTTTACAAGCTGATCGCCCGTCTGATTATCAAGATATTTATGATTGGAATTCGAAATTTCAAAAACCGTTTTCCCAAAGGGTTTTACAACACTACAGTCTATTGGGTAAAATGAGTATTTTAAAACCGGTCAGTCAAAGATTTTTACTTCTTTGAGGCACTTCATGATCATTTTGAAGCGCAATTTTTTTTAGGGCTTCAATATTACACCATATCACAGACGCTGATAACACATAGGGCCATGCATCTCAGATTTGGCATTTTTAAATGACGCCCTTAATACAAATGAACACACACACAATGAATGTCTTTTATTATGATACATACCTCTTGCTGTGGGCCTGGAGGTTGTGCAAGGCTGAAACAAAGAGGGCATACTCTTCTTCCGGGAGGTCTTTAGGATACTTTGTTACTATTGCTGCAAGTAGCTGTAACCTGTTCATGGAGTGAAAATGCCACTGTTAATCACAAAAGTATTTTTGTGTTAATTTTCATGCAAGATATGTTGTTGGTTATTGAATAGCTTGCAAAGAAGAAAGAGGGCATTCAAATCTTTCAATTCACAAGATAAAGATATTGGTTCTGAATGTTTGCCCCATTCAATGTAACATTGCGTACAACTACTTTCCATTCCATTTCCAAGTTCCATGTTAAGCATTGATCATTTATCTACAGAATGTAACACAAGATAAAAATATCAGTCTTACCAATTTAAATAGGACAGACTGACTCCAAAGCCCGTCGACAATTGTCTTCCAGAATGTAAAACTAGGAACTCTAGCAAATTGTTGATGATGGCCATTTTGCAGCAAAAATTTCACCCTCTTCAAAAAAATTATTTGTTCCTTACTATTTTGTGGCATGAATCTGGACCACTTTCAACATTACAAAAAACTAACTGGTTACAATAAGAGGTCTATTTATATAGCGCAGCTTCTACATGAATATACTCTACTGCGCTCAATACAAGGTATAATTTTATTACCCTGGCTGTAGCTGAGTTGCCATAATAAGGTGCTAAAGCAGAGATGCCAACCTTCATCAACAACAAAAAGTATTCTTAAGAGCAAAAAACAGTATTTTTCGACAAAAAACAGTATTTTGAATAAAATCTCTCATCTTAACATATCGCCCAATCGAGCAGCTTAAAAAAACCCGGCAGTACCACGTATACGTACCCGGATTGGAGCGCGAAGTGCATACAGTACAGTGGCTTGTTCGCAATATGCGCAGTTTGGGGCACGTATCACCATCCTGCGTGCATCGTTTGAAGACGTAGGTGCATAATACACTTACGACACAGAGGCCATGATTGGTAATTACAAAAAATGTCAATAAAAAAAAAAAATTAAAAATCATTAATAAGAAAAAAAAAAAAAAAAACTTACAAAAAAACGTACTGCCCTATTCATAGCAATAAAACGGAACAGTTGGCATCTCTGCTAAAGCATTCAGAGATTCCTTCCCAGCGAGTACCCATTTACTTCACCTGGGTGAAGAGTGGCAAATATAGATTAATGTCTTGCCAAAGGACATTTGTGTCGTGGCAGGACTCAAAATGGGAACCATGTGGTCCACAGTCTGATGACATATCCGCTAGACCACGCCACCTCTACATACATGGTTATACAGTAAGTTAGTGATTGAATGACCTTAAAGAGAACTATTGCTGAGCTAGCGCCATGAGCGTCTCTGGACGGTGTGTGCGCTCTATAAGTTTACACTATTATTATTGCATCAAGAGGACCTTACCATGGAATGATGGAAGCATGCTGCAGTGGTTGAGAGATGTACTCCCTGAGAAGCTCCCATCCAGACTCTAGACGTCTTCTCTTGGATGGCGTGGTCACCTGACTGGTTAGCCTCATCTGACTACTCATCAGTCTGCTGGTGGAGGGCACCTGACTGCCTTGTAGGCTCACCTCGTACGATACCAAGCCTGCATTGAATATCTGATATAAGCAGATGGTCATTGTAATTAGCATGTAGTTCTTCTAGAGTAACTCTTTGATGAATGCATAGTCCCTGAATGTATTTATTTGCTTTGCAGATTGAACTTGTGAAACAGTTTACACAATAAGTGCAAAGTAGTATGTGATGTTTGATAAACTTTCAGCAAGTCCAATTTGCTTGTATCATCAGCTCACTGTTTTTAAGTGCTGATGTATGTTTTGCATAACATTTAATCATAGATATGATGCTACTTGTTGCCATAGCAGCAGCTAATATATACATTCCATCCATCAACTACAACATGGGACAAGAATGTTGATTGCAATCGCCTCAGCTAAATAAGTTTTCTCAATTTCTATAAAAGTAACTCTAAAATAAAAATTAGAAATCCAGCAGAGTATTTAGGCCCCCACAGTAGTATGACCACAGAGAGAGAGAAAGAGAGAGAGAGGGGGAGGGGATAGGGGGATTTTAAATAATTGTTGATGTCTCTTGTCTTTACCTGATGGCAAACATCGGCTGCAAGCTCCACAAGGTCCTGCTTGAAGTTAACATCCCGCTTTCTGTAAATATTAACAAATATAAATTGATTAATAGTTATAATAATAATAATAATAATCACATAAATTAATTCAAAAGAATTGCTCCACTCTGTTCTTAATCCTACCATGTATGCTTTGTAAATATCCATGCACAGGGTGTTGAAATGTTGGCTGGTATAATACCTTCCTGAAAACTATTACACCTTTGACTTCAGTTTAAACACCTTTAGGGCGTCTTTTGGAGGAATCCTACCAAGTACAAGATACAAGTTTCAAACGTTTAATCTTAAAGTTTATGCTTTGCTAATACATGTTACCTCATTTCTCGATAATAAAATAATGCACAAATAATGAACACCTGTTGACAGATTATATGTTTAGGACACACTGCTATTTTATAAAAAGGTTGAGGCAGAATGCAACATTTCTTACGAACCCTGCTCCTTTGAGTTTGAGTTTGGAACCTTCTTGTCTCCACTCTCTTACCAGCTCTTCGTACAGACTTGTCAACTGATTCTGAAACAAACAGAAAATTGAAATATCATAATATCCCAAACCGTATAGTTGCTCCGGGGGAAACTGCTCCACAGTCAATTTCAAGGGCAATTTATAACCTCGACCCTGGACTCGTATTCCTAACCCTTAAACCTCAACTTTAGCCCTGTTTGCAACCCTATCCCTATATCTTTGACAAAATAAAGGCACTGCAAATTATCAAAATCATAAAAGATTTGCCAGAGCAAATGATTGATCACCAGTTCTCTAGGCTGTTATTTTCCTTGTACTATAATAACACAAGGGGAGTACTCACTTTCCATTGGTCAAAGTCTCCAGCATAGGCTCCCTGCTCCTCTGTCATGACACCCTTTGGGTGATGGACGCTCATCTGAAGCCTCAGGAAGGTTACCAATTCATCCTACAGAGGAATAAAATAAAAAGGAATCAATTTGAAGGTTGAGGCTCGGTCTCTACAATGCTGAATCTCCTACACGCTCCTGCGCAAAATTGATTTCCAACCAGGAAACGTTCAATGAATCTGTGTAAGTTATTGAACATTGAATAACAGCTTCTACACAAAAAAACAAGTCATGCACTAATACAAATACATTAACCACAAGGGCATTACAAAACAATATCTCCAAAGTACGTTCTGAATACTGTCATCCTTCAGGTTACTGCCTCATGATCAATTTAACAGGCTGTTTTAATATAGGATTTTCAGCTGAAAGCCTGTTACTTATGATCTGAGAGTCCTTTCTCTGACCTACCCTGATAGCTTGGGCTGTATTGCTTCTCCATGCCAATAAGAGGCATGTCAAGGATTCTTCACCCAGCTTACACAGATGATGTCTTCTATCAGGTGCTACGTGGAGACTGAAGATGTTCAGAGCTGATAGGGTGCAGGAGATCACCGTGGTGCTTCGCTCCGTTCTAGATAAGAGAGAAAGGGAAGTGAATAGATGAATTCATTCATTTAAAGCCTGTCTACACTACTTTATCCAGGAGGGATTAGACCTCCCTGCAAGGTCACCGACAGGTGGTTATATCATCAAATCAGCTCTCAATTAACATAAGAGAAAGGGGATCATGGGGGACAAACGGTACCCAAATAGACATTGTTTGCAAGAGGACACAAGCAGCTATAAGTAGTGCAGTGGGGCTTTAAAGATTAGTACTTTCGTCCGTGAGTTTGAATATTGATGTGAAATTAGCCCTAATCCATAACATTTGATTTGTACTTTTGCATTTCCCTGACCCAATCACAGTATTCACAAAATCAAACTGATTACATGGAATAGCGTGGAGCAAGTTCCATAAGCATTTTAGTTGGGAAGTATAAATCTTAACACATTACCTTTGGGACCCAAGTGGTTCCTGTATTAAGCCTATGGAAATCAGAGAATTCAGTCAATCAGAAGAAATTTGTGCAGGTCTCTATTATCATTTTGATTGGATATTTCATTTATTTTTCTACTCTACCATAGACATAGACGCATGCAAGTAAATATGTTCATGAAACCATAACAGCTTGCTCCTTTATGAAGGAAGACGGAATATTGCAGCTAAAGGTTGAATCATGTGATTAACCCCTGTCCTAAAGGAACTGGGTGGGTCCAGTATGAAGGCCAAGGATAATGAGAGAATTCAGTAGTCAACGGCTTGCCATTGGCTTGGCTTGGTAACATCATCCCAAAGCTTTGTTATGAAAAACCAGTGTATGTAAATTATAGTTTTAAAATAAATACCTGATTCTTTTGAGCATGCTCCCGAAGAAGTTAAAGAGATAGCTCGTTGGTAAAGCTCCTTGAATGGTTGCCCCGGCAACCAGAGACTGAACAGCTCTAGCCTGGGGATCAAGGCTCACACCTTGGTCAGTATGATGGATTGCCATAGTGACTGTCTCGATGAGCTCTGAAAGAAAATACCATAAAAGTCACATCACTTTCAAAAAAACCACAAAATACATGGTATTTGAAGTATGTAGCCTTGAAACAAACTAGTAAAGTAGAATATCATCACAGCAATTCTGCTTAAATAAGTTTCCTGTATCTGTATCATTGACAATGATATGAAGGTACTTGTGAAACAGATTAGACTACTTTTATGAATACAGAGAAAGAGAGAGAAAAAATGGGATATTAAACAACAAAGATAATGATGTTGATGATGATGATGGTGAAGATAATGATGATGATGATGTTGATGATGATGATGTTCATGTTGATGAAGATAAACAAAGAATGACAAAAGTGACAGAAAGTGAGAGGTGAGATTAGAGGGCCTTAGAACATCCCCAAGACATTTGAGTGAATACTGACCAATCCATGTGCGTTGGTCCAATTCATGCCAGTACTTCTGGCAGCCCAGGACATCCCTAGTTATGATGGAACAACAATCAGCTCCAAACTCAGGACCGGTGAAATCATCCTTCAGCAAAAAAATCATCTTCTTGACCAGCTTTACAACAGATAGTTTGGGACCACCTAGACAAAGTACAGAGAAGTTCAGTTGGAAACAGATTGGTTTGTGAATATGAAAGAAACCCATCAAAGTAATTGACTACTCTGTTCTGATTGCAAAATCACCCTTTTTACAATCATCTTTTTTTAAGTTTGTAAAGATTTGAAACCAAGTAGAATATTCTATTGAACATGATAACCTGATCTAATGGTGTAAACAGATATTATGAAGCAAAAGTGAGATTAACACACTTTGATCAACATTTGTTATTTAACTGTTTTCAGTCACCCGAGAGCTGTCCGAAATGAAGGCTCGTCCTAATATGAAGTGTTAAACTGCAGGGAATTTGTGTTTGTTTGAAAATAAATGGAAATTGTGTGTAACAAGGGTCCTACATGTATTCACCGAGCTCTAGCTGTGTGATAGGATACAGAAACCTAAAGCATATTACACTTTCATTTTCTTTTTCTTTTTTAACACTGCTGTTTATCATTTCCATATCTAAACGACGCTTATTGGTTGATTGGTTCGTCAAGCATTTTACATCAGCAAGTGAAGATAAAGTGTGAAATGATGACTAGCAGTATTTTATTGATATTGTTGAACTGAAATATTGCTTCAGATATATCTTTCATAATACTGAAAAATGCATCAAAGGAACAGTAAAGGAGTTGATGTCTATACTAAATAAGGAACTCCAAAGAGCCTGCATTTTGTTTGCTCCAAAGCCCTGATTCATGTTTCAGAAACTTTGATTAAAGGCTGTTGGGAAATGATTCCATAAATTAGTCCAAAGAGGTTCAGTTTTAACAAATATGTCCCATGCATATCTGATTTCTCAATGCTTTATACAACCAAACCTGTTTTAGTGACCAACTGTCTAGAAAGACCACATTTTTTGTTTCCCTTGAAAATGGTTTCTCATTGAAAAATCTACTAAAGGAACCTGTACATAAAGACCACCTGCCTAAAAAGACCACTTTTCTTGTCTCCCTTGGGTGGTCTTTATAGACAGGTTTCACTGTAATTTTTGACTTACGTCCATTTGCCACACCCACAATCCATTTCAGTGTTGACCGTACTTCTCTCTTCCTTGTCTGGTTTGTGGTGCTTGTACGAGAACCTGGGTGAAAGATAATACCAAAGGTGAACAAATTCATTGCCTGGGAAGGTTTGTGTTTAATTATTTTTTTCTAAAGAAAAATACACATTGGGAGAAACTGTCAACATTTATTCTGGATTATAAAATGTTGACAATTTGCAGGAGCAAGATCCTCATACAGGTTTTTGCTCCTGTAAAGTTTATACAGCAAACACAACTTACATTAAAACTGGAAGGAAAATATTAAAGTAAATACTAAAATAGAAGCATATATTTCATTGACATCATGGAATTAAAAGAGTGAAGGTGGTAACGCAATATTATCCTGCAGCTTTTCCCTATGCTACAAAACAAACTCGTAAATTTTAGAAGTTGAATTGATCTATCTTGCTCCAAAAGTTCTTTATTATTGGTAAAAACCATTTTTAAGAAGGCAAGTATGGCTTGCTCAGTAAGAAACATTACACATTTTAATACAGTATAATTAAAAATTGGAAGGAGATTTTTTAGGCATTTATTGACTTACTACTTGCACCTTTGCCTTTCAAGAGTTCAATTTCTTTGACAATGTAGGCCCAGACACATTTGAAGACTTCCTGCCATGTGAAATTACTTTTCCCTTCAAGTGTATGTTTGTCAAGCTGTAGTTGAACCGTCTTCTTGTTCAGCTCCTTCTTCACAATATCTATTTGTTTCTGTAAGAATAAGAAGATAAGGATAAACTGCTTTCTTAGCGCTTTGATCAAATAAATTAGCAATCCATCAATCATACCAACAAAATATATATACTTCAATAATACCCAAAGAATGAATAAGGTTCGAAATTGATTCAAAGCAGTCAGACCAATGGCATATATGTTTCAGTAACTACCCTCAGCAAAACAATTTCTTTTTTTAATGGACAAATAATATTTTCATATAAACTGTCCATGAAATATATACCAAATTATAGGTAAATTACTACTCACCCAACATCAATAACGTTCAAGTTTTGAACTTTTACGCTTGGATGGACACATTCGTTTAACCGTTAGAAGGTATGGTTAAGAAAATGCGAAAATAGAGCAAGTAGCCATGTATTAAAATGTTAATGAACATGTACATCTGTGAGATATTCTTGTTTAACAATGAACTAAAAGAATGAGAAATAATGAGGACTGAGCTGTGGATGTCAACGAGCTCGGTCCCCATTTTTTTCTTATTCTTCGAGTTCATTGTTGAACAAGAATTTGCAAGAAAAAGAAAACATATTTCAATATCAAAATTACTATTTTTAAAACTTGATTCTCACCTTCCTTTCAGTGATCTTGTCTGAGCCAAGGTATCCGCAAGCAGTCCTGAGAGGTATCAGGACCTCAGCCATGTCTCTTATAATGACATCAACACTCTCTTGGAATCTGTTGTTTTAAAGAAAAAAAGAAAAAACTTTTGTATGAATTTCTACTTCTAAGTAGACTAATCAAAGTAATTTTATCGTGCAAGATTTTACCTTGCCTTTCAACTTTAAGCAACTTTTCTAATGATTTGCCCAACGAAAAAAATATACAAGAATTTTTTTAAAGTTTTTTTTTTTTTTTTAATAAATAAAAGTCATAATAAATAGAGTCCATCATTTCCATTAAAAAAGAAACATTGACAGTAGAGGTACACAGCCAAAATAGGAGACTATTTCCTATTTGGGTTGAAAATCTCCTTTATTTGCTTTTGCTGCAAAGGGATTTCCTTCGCTTCAGCATATATTTTTGACTGTCTTCTTTTAAAATTCACCATTAACTTCTGTTTTCATAACAGTTTTTACCTTAATCCACACAAAAAAAACATTGGGCTCCTGACTTTCACGAGACAAAAATTTGACTGGGAAAACTGCCTTGTTGTTGTTTATTTTGTCCTTTTGTAATCTGAATCTCCAAAATGGGAGACAATCTCTCAATTCTCAAATGGGAGAAAATTTCTTAAATCGGCCTTGCACCTAGTCTAGAGCTAGACTATAATATTTGATTAACACATTATTCCAATAATAATCTTGGGGGGGGGGGGGGGGTAATTGTCCCGCTGGCATCGCAATTGGCCGGGGAAGGGGGTTGGGATAGGGCCCCTCCCCTGGCCCAAATAACAGGTAAATTTAACCTTTTTTTTGTGGTGTGATGTAATATTTATGTCTTGACTTTGCCATTTAACTTTTAAGTTACGCTCAAGTTAAGTAGGCCCTCTCTCACTTAAATTTGAAGCCACTCGAGCGGATCGGCCAATGAGAGCGCGTAAACTCACTGTACGGCGCTCAATGCACACACAAAGTTCTTCGTGCTCGATAAACGATTGCTAGAACAGTCATTTAGATTATAAAAAAAATAGAGTTTAGGGAGTTTAGTCTATGTTGTTACTGTACTAGAACTGTAGGCTAGATTCTAGTCTATAGATCTTTAACAAAAATTAAAGTGATTGTAGATCTAGATCTAAGTTAGATCTAGATCTATGGTCTAGTCTAGATAGACTAAGTAGATTCTAGGTTATTCATAGCTGGATATAAACATCTAGTCTATAAGCTATAACAAGGTCAGATACTTGATTTGGAGTAAGATTTGGAGTAAGGCCTGCTTTTGTTTATACATTTTTACATAGGGCCTAAAGTTAGTGATTATTAATCAGAAACATATATTTTTGTGTTAATACATGCTTTCAGCATGAGCTACCGGTTAGCTAGATTATTTTCCGCCTGATCCGCTGGCACACTGCACCAGCAACAAATAGGTCCGCTGGTACTGTCGATAGCAGGGGCCAGGGCCAGATACGAGACCGAGTATATCAATAAACAAATGACACAATCGCTTAATATCATCGATTTTAGAAGTTTGAAATAGTCCATCATGAACGTTTATAATTGTTAGTGTTCATTTTGTAACCAAATTTGCTACGAATGCGAGAATCTACTGACTTTTCCTTCGTTCCTCCAGCAGTAATCGTGTGATTTGAGCATGGGTTGTTGATGGTAAAATTAATTAGACAAAAAAAAAGGAAAAATATATTTTATGCCCTCTACGTATAATATATCAAGATCTGTGAAATTATGACTGCCCCATTTTAAATAAAGTCTATTTCCTATTAATTTATAATGCCCCTATCCAAATATGTGAAACCTAACTGCCCCATTTTAATGAATTACATTTCCATTGTTGAATCTAGTGTATGAGCGAATAAGGGCTTATTCGGATCGATAATTAAGTTTGTTTTAGGCAAATGGTCTCATTCAAAATATTTTGAAATAACTTTTGTTACCTTGTAGCGACAAATGTTACAGTGCATTCATTTATAATTCACTGGTATACATATTGTGTTTTTAATCCAAAATGGCCGCTTTAGAAGTCATTGAGAGTTCGAGGATTTGGTATTACGCCATGTCCTCAGAACTGGTTTTAACTCGATTTATTAATTAACGATGTTTATTCATTAGTATTTTCATCACATGACCAATTAACATAGATGTACGCGTATTTATTCATAAGTATTTAGATCACGTGCTTAATTAACATACATGTGCGCTTGTTTTGAACCAATCGCGCTGTAGTTGATTGGCGCTCTTCTGATTTTCCTGTGCGGGAATCAGTGAGCTGTTTTAATATTGGTATACACACATGCTTTTATTGTGTTGATATTTGTACCTAAAAAATTGTATCCAACGAGGATTGAACTGCTACGTCCCCGGACCATTCCCGGTGGACGTGCTCACCTATTTACATCTTGTACGTTTTGCAAGATATATTTTGACTCTCTCGATGTTCAACATTGACGACACTTTAATTCACCAGCAGTGAGAATAGAACATTTAATATGATCTAACGTTTTTCTCACCTGCATTATTGTTTGACAACCTTTTATCATCGACTTCATATATATTGTCTCGACATTTGATTCTTCGACCTGCATCGCAAGTCACTGAAGTTGATCTATTGACATTGACTGCATCATCATTGTATTCATCTGTTAACTGATTCATCATCGTTGTCTTCATCACCGTTGTCTTCATCATCGCTGTCTTCACCAGCGTCGTCTTCATCGTCGACTTCATCATCGCTGTCTTCACCAGCGTCGTCTTCATCATTGTTGTCATCATCGTTGTCTTCAACATCGTCTTCATCATCGTGGTATTCACCTAGCGTCGATCATCGTCTGCATATCCTACGCGATCGACAACCAGCTCGTCGACCACTGTTTTCGACTAGCTAGTTTCTACATCTACCTAGAACTTGAAGAAGATCTACTTTGAATTCAACTCCAATGACTCACGTAACGTTAATTATATTGTGATTTATGCTTTGCATTGTTTATCATTGTGAGGCCTTATTTTGACTGACTGAGTGCCTGTTGTTGAGTGCGTACGCTTACTAACACATATTTTACATGTTTATAATTGCACTAGTTCTACTTCTAGGCCTATACCTGGTCTACTGATCTAGATCTGCTATAGTCTAGATCCACCGATATATTGTTGTATTCTCGTGTTGTGCATTCCGTACATATACACAAGTAGAGATTTGTTTAGTGGTTTCTTGAACCACAATATTTCGTGCCTATGTAAGTAAATCTAAACGCTGTCTAGCTTAGATTTGAGTAGTATTTTCTTGACTGTTATTATTCATGCAGTGTGAATGATATTTAACTGACTTGTTTTAGTACTGTCTTAAGTTGTACTGAACAGGACTCCTGATATTTCGAGACTTGTATTAAGCGGTAATCATTAATACCATAGTGACTAAGTTGAGTCTCCTTTACATTAATGTGCTGTTGGAAGTTATCTATGTTTGATTATTAATAGTAACTAGATTCTACCAAGGGCCTAGTGATAGTTTAATTGTCTGTCACTGTTGAGATAGACAGAAGAGGTTTCTGATAATTCTGTAATCATTGTATCTTATGTGAAATTATAGAATATAGAACCAGTTTTTAACCATAATCAATTTGTCTGGATGTGATCATTTATTAAGTGTTTTCTTGTCTGGAGGGATACTGCTTTTTAGTAGTTTAATTAAAAAAGGGAATTATGTGGGATTACTAGTTAACACGCAACATAGTCCATACCCCATGTAGTTTTCTAAATTGGTGACCCCGACGTGATCCCCCTGAGATAAGAAACATTTAGTTAGATTACCTTTGCTTATTAATATTTTTTGTTTACCATTAGGTAATCACATTTCTTACTGATACATTGCATTTAGTTGTGTGAACAGTGGGCGTGGCGCGGCGTCATGACTGAACCCAATACTCTTCAGCACCAAGTTGCTGCGCTCACGAAATTGGTCAAGGAATTGACCGCCACTATCGGTTGCATGCGGAGCCGAAGCAGCAGCATGAGAAGCATGAGCAGCAACAGGAAGCGCGACTCATCCGGCTATAAATCAGCGAGCACTTCTGAAGTTTGCTGGTATCATGAGAAGTGGGGTGACAAGGCTCACCAGTGCCGCCCGCCATGCACATATAGCAAGCCGGCGGAAAACAACTAGGCCAGGAGGTGGGCGCGACACCCCTCACTGGCCCTCTTCGTGACGGTCGCTTGTTCTATGTCACAGATAGAGATTCTGGGGCACGATTTTTGGTTGATACGGGTGCCGCGGTAAGCGTAATTCCTGCCAACACCGCTGATAAGAGGCACCTTATGCCACTCGTTTTGCAGGCTGCAAACAAGACGCGCATATGCACATATGGGCAGCGTGAGCTCACAGTGTGTATTGGGCTGCGGCGTTCGTTTAAGTGGTCATTCATATTGGCCGATGTTTCGCAGCCTATCCTCGGCGCAGATTTTTTGAGGCATTACGGCGTACTAGTGGATTTGCGCACCAACCGACTTTGGGATGCCACCACTAGTCTGTCCGTACATGGCATCGCCTCCGACTTACCGTCGCTGAATCTCACAATAGTGCAAGTAGACTCCGATTCTGTCTACAAACGCTTACTTGCCGAGTTCACGGAAGTAACTCGGCCCATGTTTAAGAACTGTCCGTTGAAACATGACGTCACACATAGAATACTCACAACCGGCCCACCAGTTTCGGCACGACCTCGACGCTTAGCGCCGGACAAACACAAGATCGCTAAAGACGAGTTTGGCCGGTTACTCGATTTGGGCATTGTCGAGCCCTCAGACAGTTCATGGGCGTCGCCGCTCCACATGGTGCCAAAGAAGTCAGGCGGTTGGCGACCATGTGGCGATTACCGCGCTCTTAATCGCGTGACCGTCCCGGATCGCTATCCCATTCCGCACCTTCACGACTTTGCCGCACAGTTGCGAGACAAGTGCGTATTTTCCAAAGTTGACTTAGTGCGCGCATATCATCAGATCCCCGTACACCCTGATGATGTGAAGAAGACCGCGCTGACAACCCCTTTTGGGTTATTCCATTTCCG